TTGAAACTAACCAAGCTTAGCAGGCTATGCAAATGCAGCTGCCAGTCGTTCAATAATCTGGATAAGCAGATCGGGTGAGCGGGGGTGCTGGTGGCTCGGATGCCCTCTCATCGCTAAGCCCCAGGTTCACCTTTCTGAAATGCATTTTCTGATCAATTCCTTCTCTGCTCTTCTGCCGATAGCAACTTTTGCGTGGAAAAATAAACTCAGGAGATTTAAAAGCAAGATCGTCGCATCCGTGCAGTCAAAGTCAACGTGATCGCTGATCATTGAAATAACGCAGAATTTAAAGCGGGGGGGGGGGGGGGGGAGAGATGAATTACAGAATAACATGGTTAGAAGGGACCTTGGAGGTCTTCTAGTTCAACCCCTGCTGAAGGAAGGAGATTCTATACCCGTGATGGCGAAACTATGGCACGCGTGCCAGAAGTGGCAAGCAGAACGCTCTCTGTGGGCACGCACGCCATCGCCAGCTGCTCTTTCCGGGCGCTGGAGAGCCTGAAAACAGCCTGAAAATGGCCAAAAAACAGGCCTGGAAATGGCTTGGAAAATGACCTGGAAAACGCCCCAAAAATGGCCTGAACAAAGCCCAAAAAACAGCCTGTAAACAGCCCAGAAAATGGCCAAAAAACAGGCCTGAAATGGCCACAAAATGGCCTGAAAACGACCAAAAAACAGCCTGGAAACAACCCAGAAAATGGCCCGAAAACAGCTTGAAAAATGGCCAAAAAACAGGCCTGAAAATGGCCCAAAAAACAGCCAAAAAACAGGCCTGAAAACAACCCGGAAAATGGCCAAAAAACAGGCCTGAAAATGGCCACAAAATGGCTGAAAAACAGGCCTGAAAATGGCCACAAAATGGCCTGAAAACGGCCCAAAAAACAGCCTGGAAACAACCCAGAAAATGGCCCGAAAACAGCTTGAAAAACGGCCAAAAACCAGCCTGAAAATGCCAAAAAACAGGCCTGAAAACGGCCAAAAAATGGCCAAAAAAACAGGCCTGAAAATGGCCACAAAATGGCCTGAAAACGGCCCAAAAAACAGCCTGGAAACAACCAAGAAAACGGCCCGAAAACAGCTTGAAAAATGGCCAAAAAACAGGCCTGAAAATGGCCCCAAAAAAACAGCCAAAAAACAGGCCTGAAAACAACCTGGAAAATGGCTGAAAAATAGGCCTGAAAATGGCCACAAAATGGCCTGAAAACGGCCCAAAAAACAGCCTAGAAACAACCTGGAAAATGACCTGAAAACAGCCTGAAAAATGGCCAAAAAACAGGCCTGAAAATGGCCCGAAAAAACAGCCAAAAAACAGGCATGCTCACACCGCCTTGCTGGCCTTCAGGTTCCCGGTGCTCACACACACATGCACACACATGCATGAGATTTCCGGTTTGGGCATTCACTGCTCTATACCATTTCAGAGAAATAGCTGTCCAGTCTCTTCTTAAAAGCCTCCAAGATTGGAGCACCCACGACTTCCGCAGGCAAGTTGTCCCACTGTTTGTACTCACTGTCTGGAAATTTCTCCTTAGTTGTAGGTTGGATTTCTCTTTAATGATCTTCCCGCCGTTGATTCAATTAACAATGGCAAGAATGGTCATAAAATTGGGCAGGATAACGCCACCCTGCTTACCACTTGTGGTCGTAAGTCGAGGACTACTGTAGGACCGGACCTAAGACAGCTGCTGCAAAACATCTGGGCTTCTCCATCTCGGTCCAGCAGACAGTTGGGGGGAATTCTGGGAGTTGAAGTTTACAGATCTTAACACATTTCTTGCCTACATTTATTTATTTATATCCCACCTTTATTATTTGTGGGGGCAATAAGCTGACTTTGTATAAAATATACAAAAGTATGAAGGCTATTGCTTAACGCCTTGTAAGCCGCCCTGAGTCTCCGGAGAAGGGCGACATATAAATCAAAATAAAATACAATACAATAAATAAATAAAATTATTTTTACAAATAACTCAAGGCACTTGAGTTATCAACATGCCTTCCTCCCTTTTTTTCTCCACAAGTCACCCAGCTGGCTTTTGTGTCTAAGATGGGACTAGAACTCACCCAGCGGTGAAATCCCACCCCCGGTTCTATCCAGTTTGCTGAACCAGTAGCGCCGGCAGCGGGAAGCTCCGACCACCCGCCAGGATGTCACTATATCCCTTTTTTAACCATCTGCGCATGCACAGAAGAGGTGTGAGCACACCCAAACCGGTAGCGAAGGTAAGTAGATTTCACTGAACTCACCATCTCCTGGTAATTGGTCCAAAGTCACCCAGCTGGCTTTCATCCCTAAGGTGGGATTTGAACTCGGATTCTCCTGCTTTCTAGCCTGGTGCCTTAACCATTATATGGCAAACCTTTTCAGTGGTACGAAGTGCCAAAAAGGTTGCATGGAAACATTGCACGTGCTCACATGCGCTCATCAGGGCCATGCTCCAGAAAAGCCGAACTTCTGGGTTCTGGTGCGCATGTGTGCCCAACAATCAGCTGGTCGGCGTGCATGCACAGGCCAGTTTTTGGCACTGCTGCACGCATGAAGAACAGCTGATCATCACACATACATGTGCATCAGAAACCCAGAACATAAGCAGGCAAGGCTGCGCATGCCGGGCGACATGGCTTCGTATGCCACTTTGGTCACACGTGCCATAGGTTCGCCATCACCGCACTAGACCCAACTGGTCCACATCAGGGGTTGAAATTCAGCTGGTTTCTACTGGATTGCACGATACATTAGGGCCGACTGTGTGAAGCCCCACCCACTCGCCCGCGTGGACATCATGACGTCCCTTTTTTGCGACAATTTTCAGCGCATGTGCAGACATTTGCAAATCGGTAGGGGAGGTAAATGAATTTCACCCCTGGTCCACATGTAGATCAAACTAGAACAAAGCAGTCTATAAACACTGCTGAAGTTGAGAAACACCTCGTTCTACCGGCACAGGGGGTTGGCCTAGATGACCTCCAAAATCCCTTCCAATCCAATGACTCTAGGATACTGTCAGTGCGTGTGCACCCAAATCAGCAGGGACTGTGTCAAAAGGCCAGGAGAAGGCGTCTAGAGGAAATAGCACACGGGGCTCCGTGTGCAGGTTGATTTCCAGGAATTTTTCAGTTCCCTCCATGTGCTCAGAGCTGGCAGGAAAGGGAAGGTCGGTTGATCAATGGTTAGCCATGTTCTGACCATCCTTGGATGCAAGACAACAGGATGGACCTGGGAAAGCTGCTGCAAACTCATTAACTAGGACCGCGTGGGGAGGGAGCGTTCGCCTCCAATTAGAAGACACAAGGATTTTAAAGAAGGCGCTCCCGAGAATTTCTCCATAAATGATAAACGAAACGAAAGTTCCAGGAATGAAATGACGCATTTTAATGCATCGGCTTGCTGCGAATCTTGTATTATTAATCTCAAAGGCAGCCTGTTCGATAAAGCGTGGCTAACAAAAATATCCTAGCTTGGCAACTTTTCTGCAAAGTAGAACGTTCCCGTCGCCAAAGCGCCAGGCCAACCGTTGGGGGCTTAGAACGAATATGCGCACCTGGCAAAAGCGAGCGCAGGAAATGGACAGTACTGATGTAGAGGTACATCAGTCTCAATTTCTCCCCAAATTAAAAGGGGGAACAACTTCGGCTGGGGGATTCTGGGAGTTGAAGTCCACCCATCTTCAAGCGACCAAGGTTGAGAAACACTGTTCTAAGGCCTTCTCGACTTCAACTCCCAGATTTCCCCAGCCAGCCGTTGGCCCCCGACTTACGACCACAACGGAGCCCACAATTTCTATTGCTAAGTGAAACATTCGTTTGGTGAGTTTTGACCCGCTTTAGGACTTTGCTTGCCGCTGCTGTTAAAAGCGAATCATTGCAAGTTAGTTCACACGGTTGTTAAGCGAATCGGGCTACCCCGTCGACTTTGCTTATTATTTATTTATTTATTAGTTCAATTTATATGCTGCCCTCCTCTGAAGACTCAGGGCGGTTTACAATGCACTTATAGCAATAGCCTTCATTCTTTTATATATACCTCCTTTTTAGGGCTTTTGCCCCCCCCCCAAGCGGTGTTTCTACAAAGTCAATTTATTGCCCCCATAATCCGGGGCCTCATTTTACCTACCTCAGAAGGATGGAAGGCTGAGTCAACCTTGAGCCTGGTGGGATTTGAACTCGGCAGTAATTGCAGGCAGCTGGCAGCTAAGTGCTACATAACAGCACTTTAGTCCGCTGCACCACCAAGGCTCTTGTCAGAAGGTCGCAAAAGGGATCACGTGACAGCCCCCCGCAGGATTCTGCGACCGTCATAAATATGAGTCAGTTGCCAAGCCTCTGAATTTCGATCACGTGACCACGGGGATGCTAACAATGGTCGCGAGTGTGAAAAACGGTCCCTTTTTTGCCAGTCCCGTTGTAACTTTGAATGGTCACAAAATGAACTGTTGCAAGTTGAGTACTACCCATATTTAGGACGGTCGCCATGTCCCGGAGTCACACAATCCCCCTTTTGTGACCGTCTCACCAGCAAAGTCAATGGTGGGGGGGGGAAGCCAGATTCATTTAACAACTGTGTGACTCACTTAACAACTGCAGCGGTTCCCTTAACCACCGTGGAAAGAAAAGTCACAAAACGGGCTCGATTCCCTTAGCAACTGTCTCGCTTCGCCGTGGAAATACTGGGCTCCATTGCGGTCGTAATTCGAGGACTGCCTGCGCATCGTTATTTTTGGAGTTGGGTGGGTGGGAGGAAAAAGGGCAAAGCTGGGCAAATTACAGGACGGGCCAAAAAAATGACATAAACACACACAGATGCACAAACGCACACACATACCCTGCCTTTTGCATGGCTGTTGTCCTACCTGCTTCCCATGCCAGGGGGTGCCCGGTCAGCCGCAGCTTCCTGATGGCCATTCATTAATCCAACCTGCCCTCTCCGTTTCCTCTCCTTGCTTATAAAAAGGGGATCCTTTCCTTGGCAGTAAGGAAAAAGACAGAAAAACCGGACAGAGATGGCTCCAGCGAAGGGACAACAACGCCGCCTCTCCCTGTGCCCAGGGCCTCCCGTGGCCACCATCCCCTTCGGGGACCTGCTGGAGGAGGTTGGCAGCATGGGTACCTTCCAGATTTTCTCAGTCTTCTTCCTCTCGTTGCCCGTCCTGTTCCTGGCCAGCCACAACCTGGTGCAGAACTTCAGCGCGGCCACCCCAGAGCACGGGTGCAGGCGGGCGCAGCCGGGCAACCTCTCCCAGCAAGAGAATCTGGTGCCGCTCGGGCAAGACCTGAAGCCGGACAGTTGCCAGCGCTTCGCGGGATGGTTGGCGTCCGACGCCAACGATACGACGGGCAAGGAGGTGGGACTGGAATCCTGCCTTGACGGGTGGCAGTATGACCACAGCACCTTCGCTTCCACCATCGTGACGGAGGTATGTTCGGAGGTCACCTCCGGCTCCTTTTATTTACTTATTTTTTTGTTTGTTTATTTACTTATTCAATCAGTCAGTCAGTCAATCTATATGGCCGTGATGGTGAACCTATGGTGGCACGCGTAGCCATATCAGTGGGCACGTGAGCTCAGCTCTGGCGCGCATGTGTGCCAGCCAGCTGATTTTCGGGCCTTCTGGGCCCAACAGAAATAGGGAAACAGGCTGTTTCCTGCCTCTGGAGGGCCTCCGGAGGGGTGGGGAAGGCTGTTTTGGCCCTCCCCAGACTCCTAGAAAGGCTCTAGAGCCAGATGAGAAAGAAAAAAGGGCCTACCAGGCCATCACGTGCCAGGAGCGGGGGGGGGAGCGTGGTGGGGGTCACGCATGTATGCGTGGGGGTTGGGTGCATAGAATTATGGGTGTGGGCATGCGTACGCGTGACCCCCCCGCCCCCTCTCCTGGCACACGATGGCAAAAAGGTTAGCCATCACTGCTATATGGCATATGGGCTTGCAATATGTACCTAGATTTAAAAAAAACACAATAAAACATGAATATTAAAAAGATCTATATTCAGATACCAATCATCATCTTCATTGAACAACCCCATAATTCCTTGCGGGGTGGAGTCTGGGCCACTGAATGGAGGTATCAGAATGTTTACTGGCCGGATGCCCTTCCTGTCACCAGTGCGGAGTTTTGTGCAGCAGATTCTCATTGTGCCCAGAGAGAGAAATATCTGCCTCTACCTAGGATCAAACTTACAGCCTCCTGACTGTGTGGCGAGAGCTCCACTTCTAGGCCACTGTATCACTCTTACATTCAGATACCAATGTGTAGGGCACGGCAATCAGTGGTGGGTTTCAGCAGGTTCTGACCAGTTCTAGAGAACCGGTAGCAGAAATTTTGAGTAGTTCAGAGAACCGGTAGTAAAAATTCTGACTGGCCCCTCGTACATCTCTTCTCTGCCTCCCAAGTCCCAGCTGATCGGGAGGAAATGGGGATTTTGCAGTAACCTTCCCCTGGAGTGGGGTGGGAATGGAGATTTTACAGTATCTTTCCCCTGCCACGCCTACCAAGCCACGCCCACCAAGCCACACCCACAGAACCCACCACTGTAGGCAATCTAGCCATTGAAGCTCAACATCATTTATATGAAAAAAAAAAAATCTGATACTGGACTGGTATAGTTAGTCTTATGGCCACAATAGAGCCCATAATTTCTGCTGCTAAGTGAAACATTTGTGAACTGAGCTTTGCCCCCATTTTACAACCTGTCTGGCTACCGTTGCTAAGTGAATCACCACAATTATTAAGTTAGTCACATGTTGTTAAGTGAAACTGGCTTCCCCATTGACTTCGCTTGTCGGAGGGTCACAAAAGTTGGATCACGTGACCCCCCCGGGACACTGTAACCCGTCATAAATATGAGCATCTGAATTTTGATTACGTGACTGTGGGGATGTTGCAACTGTCGTAAGTGGGAAAAACGGTCATGACTCACTTGTTTCAGTACCGTTGTAACTTGGGTCATTAAACTAACTGTTGTAAGTCGAGGATACCTATATATGCCCTCAGCTTATGATGTAGGTCGTGATGTGATCTATAGCTACAGCAGGGCCCCCCAACCCAGTAGGAACCGGGTTGCACAGGTGGAGGTGAGCAGCAGGTGAGCAAGCACAACTGAAACCATCCCCCCCCTCTGTTGTGGTCCACCAGCAGCCTGCGGAGCTGGCAGCGGAGTCGGATAGCGATGAGGATGAGGAAAAACATGGGCCAGTCCCGGAGGCTGGGGAAGGCCCGGATGAGGGCTCTGCGTCAGAGGCAGAGATGGGGCCAGGGCCATTGGGGAGTGATGTGTGGAGTCCGGAGCCTCCAGAGGCTGACAGTAGAGAGGCAGAGGAACAGGAGGAGCCTGTTCCTAGTGCACGCATGAGAAGAGCTGCCAGGAGGCAGGAGCAGCTAAAGCAGAGAGGACGACTCAGGAGTAAGGCCAAGAGATGATTGGCCCCTCCCATAAGACTTAAAAAGCCAGCAACGGCTCTTGGGCTCTTTGACGGAAAACAACCGTTTGAGAGAATTGCTTCTTGTTTCACTGTATTCATTTCTTGTCGGCATCTTCTGCTTCTGAGCTTTTGCCAAGAGAAGCCTTTGGCACTTTGCCTAATTATCCCAAGGTCGGTGATAAACTATGGAATGGTGTTTTGAAGAATTTGCTTTCATTTAGTTTGGACGACGCTGAGAAGGAGTTAATTCTCAGCTGTTCTAATAAACTCTGTTTGTTTTCGAACTGTTTGTATTTAATACTAACTACTTGGGCCTGGGTGACAACACCCGCTAGCCCCAATCCGTGGAAAAACGGTCTTCCACGTAACCAGCCCTCGGTGCCAAAAAGACTGGGGACCACTGATCTACAGTTTGACGTGGGAGCTCTCTCAATCTCTCTGTCACATGTACAAATAAACACACACACATACAGACACGCTGCGAATGCCCAAGTGGAGGAATTATGAACTTTTCCGAAGTTATCCAATTCTTCGTGCAATGCCCTAAAGGCCTTGGTCCCCAACCTTTCTGCAGCTCTCTCTTCTTCTGTGTCCTTGCAGTGGGACCTGGTCTGCAACCTGCAGCCCCTGAAGAGCCTGGCCCAATCCCTCTTCATGGCAGGGGTCCTGGTGGGGGCCTTCGTCTTGGGAGACCTCTCGGACAGGTAAGAAGCTTCAGGCGGCCGAAGGAAAATTCCGCAAGCCAAGAAAACGGGGGGGGGGGAAAGGGGCTGCCCGATCCAGAGAGGGACATACAAATCGCAGAATTCTGCAAGGCAGGAATTCTACAAATAAAAGAGTGCATTTTAGGCAGTCTGAACCTTGCAGCTGAGCGTATTTCTCTCTCTTATTATTTATTTATATCCCGCCTTTATTATTTTTACGAATAAGGCATTTCTTCTTTCTTTCCTTCCTTTCCTCCTCCCTCCAACTCCTTTCTTTCTTCTTTCTTTCTCTCTGTTTCTTCTTTCTCTCCTTCCTTTCCTCCTCCCTCCAACTCCTTTCTTTCTTCTTTCTGTCTTTCTTTTTCTTTCTTTCCTTCTTTCCTTCCTCCCTCTTTTTTCCCTTTCTCTCTCATTTCTCTTTTTCTTTTCTTTTCCTTTAGCTATATCTTTTCCTCTTTTCTTCTTTATATCTCTCTCTTTTTCTTTCTGTCTCTTTCCTTCTCTCCCTCTTTCTCTTGATCTCCCTCCCTTTCTTTCTTTCTTTTCTTTCTTTTCTCTCATTTCTATTTTTCTTTTCTTTCCTTTAGCTATCTCTTTCTCTTTTCTCTTTATATCTCTTTCTTTTATCTCTTTCCTTCTCTCCCTCTCTTTCTCTTGATCTCCCTCCCTCCCTTTCTCTTCTATTTTTCTCTTCTATTTTTCTTTCCTTTAGCTATCTCTTTCTCTTCTTTCTTTATATCTCTCTCTCTTTCTTTCAGTCTCTTTCCTTCTCTCCCTCTTTCTCTTTATCTCCCTTCCTTCCTTCCTTCCTTTCTCTATTTTTTCTCTTCTTTCCTTTAGCTATCTCTTTCTCTCTCTTTTCTTTCTTTATATGTCTCTTTCCCTCTGTCTCTTTCCTTCTCTCCCACTCTTTCTCTTGATCTACCCCCCCTCCTTTATACATTATTTACCTGGATATTTATGAAACACTGAAAGTAACAAGGTAAGAAAGTAAGAAGAAAAAGCACAAAACGTATAGTAATAAACCACATATAACATTTGTTATGTTCCCATTTATACCGCAAAATACCTTGGATCCTTTCCCTAAACCAGACCCAAATATCCTTATGGAACATTTAAGTTAAACCTCCTCAATTAACGCAGGACATCACTAACAAAACAACTTACAATAAGCATTACACAAAAGTTGTAAGCCAGTTTAGAAAATAGCCCTGTGCATAAAAGAACCCACATTTTAGCACAGATTTAAATATGAAGTTACAATCCAAGAAGGATTTCCAATTAAATTTAAATTCTACAACAGATTTGCTTTTTAAATACAACATTATTCTGGGCAACGAAGCGTACTCCCACAGTTTGGTGAGCCACTCTTCCGAAGAAAATGTTAAAAGGTCTTTTCCGGTAAAAAGCATACGGTATTGCTATTTTTCCCTCCCTTGTAGATGTGCCGTGCATTTTCTTTGCATTTTGAGTTTCCTGCAAACAGCTTTTCATGCATTATGGTTTGCATTAACCACCGATTTCCCCTTCCTCCTATGCTCTGGGACATATGCTCTGCCAGTCAACTGGCCCTGCTAAAAAGTGGAATAAGAAATCAAAGCAGCATCTTTGATTTTTGCACAATGTTGCAACTGTGAATACAGAATGGAAAGTTCCTCTCAAGCAACCTTTATGGTCTGAAGTTTTACTGTTTGCCATTTTTGGCCGTAGGGCAGATCAGGGTCTCTCAACTTTGGCAACTCTTAATCTGTGTGGACTTCAATTCCCAGAATTCCCCAGCATGGCTGGCTGGGGAACTCTGGGAATTGAAGTTCACATGACTTAAAGTTGCCAAGATAGATAGGTAGGTAGGTAGGTAGATAGATAGATAGATAGATAGATAGATAGATAGATAGATAGATAGATAGATGATGGATAGTTTGATAGATTGATGGAAGAGATAGATAGGTAGGTAGGTAGGTAGGTAGGTAGGTAGGTAGGTAGGTAGATAGATAGATAGATAGATAGATAGATAGATAGATATTATAGATAGAGATAGATAGATAGATAGATAGATAGATAGATAGATAGATAGATAGATAGATGATGGATAGTTTGATAGATTGATGGAAGAGATAGGTAGGTAGGTAGGTAGGTAGGTAGGTAGGTAGGTAGGTAGATAGATAGATATTATAGATAGAGATAGATAGATAGATAGATAGATATAGATAGATAGATAAATAGACAGACATAAACATATAGAGATAGATAGACAGAGATAAATAGATGTAGAGATAGACAGATAGATGATGGATAGTTTGATAGATTGATGGAAGAGATAGATGATAGATATAGATGATAGATAGATATTATAGAGATAGATAGATAGACAGACATAAACATATAGATAGATAGACAGAGATAAATAGATGTAGAGATAGATAGATAATAGACAGATATACAGACAGACAGACATAGACACATACATAGAGATAGACAGGTAGATAGATAGACAGACAGACAGACATAGACACATACCCTGTTTCCCCTAAAATAAGACATCCCCTGATAATCCCAATTGAGCGCATGTGCTAAAATAAGCCCTCCCTGAAAATATTTAAATGCATTTGCAGCCGGTCCCCGCCATTTCGTCTGGTTAGGGAGACAGCTGGAAATCAGGTAAGATGGCAAGAGGAACCCCGTCTTGCTCCATGCGCCCCAAAATAATAAGACCTCCTGACAATAAGGCCAAGCGCTTATTTTGGGGTTCAAAGAAATATAAGACAGGGTCTTATTTTCGGGGGAAACACGGTACATAAAGATAGATAGATAGATAGATAGATAGATAGATAGATAGATAGATGGATAGACAGAGAGATACATAGACACATACATATAGATAGATATAGAGAGATAGATGTAGAGATAGGTGGATGGATGGAGGAGGGAGGGAGGGAGGAAGGAAGGAGCTGGGCAAATGATGTTTTCCAACATTATTGTCTGTTGAGCCTGGATAGCTCTGCAGACTAAGCATTGTAATTTAACACCAGCTGTCTGCAATTAAAGTAAGATCGAATCTCGCCAGGCTCAAGGTTGACTCAGCCTTCCATCCTTTCTAAGGTAGGTAAAATGAGGACCCAGTTTGTGGGGGCAATAAGCTGACTTTGTATAAAAATATACAAAAGTATGAAGGCTTAACGCACTGTAAGCCGCCCTGAGTCTCCAGAGAAGGGCGGCATATAAATCAATTTTTTTAAAAAAAACTATGCCACATCCCATTTTCTGATCAGCTTTGCTGGCTAGGGAATTCTGGGAGTTGAAGAGTAGATCCTTCTGTGATGTCACAGAGGCTCTCAGCTAATCCCGTTGTGGCTTCCCCCTGGGGGTTTGCTTCTGGCTTCGTATAACGACCGCAGAAACATTCTCTGTGACCCAAAGCAGAACGAGGTCCATTTCTATGTCGGTAGAATTTATTCGAAACATAGCGGCCATCTTTCCTCCGGCCTCTTTTCCGCTGTCCAACCTTTTCCTCCAATCTGGTTGCGCTCTTTAATGAAACCGTAAAGGCTCGTGTCAAATAAAGGAATTGTGCTGAAGGATGGCTGGACACGCATCGCCAGGCAGTCGTTCTTGGTCTCTCTCTCTTTCCTTCGGATACATCAAAATTACCCTTCAGAGAACGGATCGGGTTCCTGTCTGGAAACTGACAGCCGGCAAACAGCCTGATGGATCACAATCGCTTTGGGCGATGCCGAAGGGAGAGAAGGTGGAATTCTCTCCCGTTTGCTTAAACTGGTAGTCCTCGACTTACGACCAACATTGGGAGTGAAACTGCCATTGCCAAGCAAGGCAGTTGTTGAGTTGTGTTCAATTTTACGAACTTTTACGAAGGGAGAAAGAGGAAGGAAGGAAGAGAAGAAGGGAGAGAGGGAGGGAAGGAGTTGGGTTCGATTTTACAAACTTTTACGAAGGGAGCGAGGGAGGGAGAGGAAGGAAAGGAGAGAGGGAGGGAAAGGAAGGGAGGGGGGAGAGAAAGGGAAAGAGGAAGGGAGGGAGAGGAAAGGAGAGAGGGAGGGAAGGAGTTGTGTTTGATTTTACAAATTTACGAAGGGAGGGAGGGGGAGGAAGGAAAGAGGGAGGGAGAAGGAGGGAGGGAGAGAGGGAGGGAAGGAGTTCGATTTTACAAACTTACGAAGGGAGGGAGGGGGAGGAAGGAAAGGAGGGAGGGAGAGAAAGGGAGGGAGAAAGAGGAAGTGAGGGAGAGGGAGGGAAGGAGTTCGATTTTACAAACTTAGGGAGGGAGGGGGAGAGGAAGGAAAGGAGGGAGGGGGGGGAGGGAGGGAGGGAAGGAGTTCAATTTTACAAACTTACAGAGGGAGGGAGGGAGGGAGAGGAAGGAAAGGAGAGAGGGAAGGAGGAAGGGAGAGAGGAAGGGAAGGAGTTGTGTTCAATTTTACAAACTTACGAAGGGAGAGAGGGAGGAAGGGAGGGAGAGGGAGGGAAGAAGTTGTGTTCGATTTTACAAACTTACGAAGGGAGAGAGGGAGGGGGAAAGGGAGGGAGGGGGAGGGAGAGAGGGAGAAGAAGTGTTCAATTTTACGAACTTTTACAAAGGGAGGGAGGGAGAGAAAGGGAGGGAGAGAGAGATGGGGGGAAAAAGAAAGATTTTACTTCTATTTGATGCTGTGTCTAAAGTCTTGGCACATCGCCTGTTTTGATCAAAATGGAACAAAGAAGGGACTCAGAATTGCTTGCCCACAGATGCTCCTTTCTAAAAGCAGACAAGTATTTTTTTTTTTTATCTTACACCTGAGTTGTCAAGAAACTGGTGTATCGAACCGTTATCCGTTCTGTTCTCTCGCCTCCTTTGCCGCCTCTTTCAAATATGACCTGCATGTTGAATCATTTTAGTGGGTGTGTTTGTGGGGTTCAAACTTTTCCTCGCTTCAGAACCCGCTACTTAAAAGTGTGTGTATGTATGTATGTATGTATGTGTATATATTATATTTATTTATTTATTTCCCGACAACCCCGATGAAGAAGCAAAGTTGTAGGAGGACTTGAAAATTGGCCGAGTTCCCATGGAGCTCCATTAAGGTTGACAAAAAAATAGATGCCAGGATCTGGAGGCTTGACTAGATGATCTCTTAGGTTCCTCCGACTGCATTATTTCAGTGTGCCGATTTGGCTGTGTTTTTTTCAACACTCTGGCCTGGCCAGTTGATGGTTGGTTTGGATTTGATTTGACTTGCAATTGATATAATAAACATGTTTAAATAAATCCTGTTTAATGCGGGTAGGCCTTAATTTACAACCTTTTGTTTAGTGACTGTTCAAAGTTACAACGACACAGAAAAAAGTGGCTTAGGGCCCCTTTTCACACTTATTATGACGGTCGCACCAACCCCATGGTTATGTGATCAAAATTCTGATGCTTGGCAACTGCTCATATTTATGACAGTTGCAGTGCCCTGGGGTCACGTGATCCCCTTTTGCGACCCTCTGACAAGCAAAGTCAATGGGGAAGCTGGATTCACTTAACGACCGTGCGACTAACTTAACAACTGCAGTGATTCCCTTGACAACGGTGGCAAGAAAGGGTCATAAAGTGGGGCAAAACTCACTGAAGTGTTTTGCTTAGCAACAGAAATTTTGGGCTCAATTGTCGTAAGTCAAGGACTACCTGTATAATACGTGGTGTTGAATTTGTGGAAATTGCGCAATTTTTTTTTTTTACACAAGGAATTGCGTTACTTGTTCAATTCGTGGCCATGTTTTTGCCAGGCTGCCGATCCAGTGTCATTTTATGAAAGTACGCTTATTTTTCGGCTAATTTTATTCAGTTGAGTGAGGGTTCCTCTCTTTCTGGAGCTTTTGGGCCAGGATGGAGTTGCCCATTTTTCACATCTTCGGTGACCGATTCTGTGGAGCGACAATCCGAGACGATCAGGGTGGGATCACCAATTTAGGGAAGGCTGCATTGCGTGAGGTGCTAACAGGATCATGAGCAAAAAGTTTGGATGATAAATCAATCCTAAAATGGTTGTGTAATTGGGTGGACCAAGGACGGCCACTTAGGGTGGTCTTGGCAGGACTTGCTAAGTGAGGGAAGACGATGGGGAAACTGAGGCTGAGGGAAGGACTTTGGGCCTCATCCTGTGGCTGAGCTGCAGGATCCGTCATTTTGTTTTGTTTTATTTTTTATTATTATTTATTACTAGCTGGATACCCGTGCTTCCCTACGAAACTATGTGATTGGACTTGATAAATCGACACTTACAGCTTGAAAATTAATGAGTAGTTACCATCGGCCTCTTCTCTCCCCTTCTCTCCCTCAGCCTTGCCCCACAGAAGCCTCCCCTATCCTATCCCCTTCTCTCCCTCAGCCTTGCCCCACAGAAGCCTCCCCTATCCTATCCCCTTCTCTCCCTCAGCCTTGCCCCACAGAAAATTGTAAAATGGGGCAAAATTCACTTAGTTTCAGTTAGAAATGGAAATTTTGGGCTCAGTTATGAGCATAAGTTGAGGACTAGCTGTATTTTTATTATTTTATATTTTGTTTTATTTCATAATGTAATATATTTTATTTATTTTATAATATATTATTATTATTATTATTATTATTATTATTATTATTATTATTATTATTATATTTTAGTATATTTTAGTATTATTATATTTTTTAGTCAGCCAGATCTTTGGATTTGGCATTTTTCTCCACCTCTGGAGTTCTTCTCAAAGACCAGGGAATAGACCAGGGCTGTCAAACTCCCAGCCCGCGGACCAGATGTGTCATGCACTAGCCACGCCCACACCTGGTTTAGCAAAGGGGGGGAGTCCAGATACATCACGTGATGTCACCATGACAACGTGAGTTTGACACCCCTGGAATAGACAGATGTGGATGTTTGAGGGAGCTAAAGGTCTCATCGCAGGATGTCAGCTGTTCCGAGCAAAGCTGCCTTTTGCAATTGACTTGATGGTGAATTTGTCAATGCCATTGGAGTTCAAATGATGCCCCAGATGTTTTGGTATAGGCCTAAATTGCCTATCACTCTTGGTCCTATCTTTGCCTTCTTCTGCCACGGTCGTTCTATTTCTATTTTCAGATCCTTGTATTTTGTGAACTTCTCCAGTTCTCAGCTACTGCCACGATTTTATTGATTTATCCCATTTTATATATTTTTTTTATCCCATTATATTATTTTATGCCCATTTCACTAAAAGCAACTCCCTTTTGTAAATCACTTTATTTTTTCAGTGTCGTCGTAACTTCAAACAAATGGTTGTAAGTCCAGGTCTATCTGTGTTTTTAAAAAACAAAAAAACTATAGGAATTTGAGGCTCAGAAAAACCTCCTTCAAAGCAGATGCAGCTGGATTAAAACATCTGTTTTTTTAATGCCAACGTTTTGCTGGCGGGCTTTGGATGCCAGAAAGAAATCCAAGCAGCCGATACTGGGGTGGGAAGCCACTTCTGAGAAAGTGCTACAGATGTGGGAGGTTTGATTTATATTTGGAGAAATTGAGACCAGACACTCTGAGCCAGCTGTGCTGTTTGGAAAAACTGACTCTCGTATGCAAAAATGTATATATATATCTCTATATATGAGAATAGAATCAGGGAAGTTGAAGATCCTTTTTACGGATTGCGCTGATGTTTTATTGCTGAGTTTCATTTGTCTGAAATGGTATGGGGGTCTCCTGTTTGTGCAGGGGTTGGACTAGAAGATCTCTAAGATCCCTTCCAGCTGTTACTCTGTTAACTTTCTGTTAAGTTTGTTTTTATGCCGGCTACTGATTGTATGTTTTTTTTTGCATCTCTGTTTTGGTTTTTTTTATGCTGTGTTTTAACAATTGTTAGCCAGGCAAAGAGGAATGTATCAATGGAGATATTCAACAAAGAAGTGTTGCGTTGTGTTGTGTTGTGTTGTGTTGTGTTGTGTTGTGTTGTGTTGAAAAGGGATGGCGATTTGCCGAGGCGAGAAAGAATTAAAATAGCAGTTTCGGAGCTGGGAACGGGTGAGCTCTTTTGGGATGTTTTCTCAAAGTGGAAAAAAATAGGGAATAATCTTAGCTAAATGCATAGATTGAAGCTGGGATTTGGGGTGGTGGGTGGAAGATGGGGACTGTGCCCCAAAGCCTGGCCCTCTTTGTTGTTCTCTTTTGGCTTCTCTGCCCCATCCTGACCCCCAAACTCAAAAGACAGCTTCGATACGGGGAGGACTCGCGTAGAAATATTGATCAGGGTGTCTCTGAGCATGTCTTGATTGTTTTTTACTTTTAACAGCCCAGATTGGATCAAAGGGTTGGAAGGGGGTGTGTGCTTCTCTCTGGCCCCACTAATTGGGGAGGTGGAGAATCTGAGCCGTGGGGCAGGCAGTGGGGTGAGGAGATTGCTAGGAAATGTGGTTGAATATGGGGTAGCGACTTGCCCATTTTGATCTGGGACAATGTTGAATCTGTTACTGCTGTCCAGAGACATTGTGAGATAGAGGGGAGGGAGGGAGGGAAGAAAGAAGGAGAGAAGGAGGAAAGAAAGGTAAAGAAAGACAAAAAGAAAGAGAGGGAGGAAGGAAGGAAAGGAGAGGAGAGGAAGAAAGGAAGGAGAATAGGAAGGGAGGGAAGGAGGAGAGAAAGAGGCAAGGAGCTAGGAAGGAACAAAGGATGAGGAAGAAGAAGAGGAAGAGGAGGAAAGGAGAAGGAAGGAAGGATGAAGAGAAGGAGAAAATGAGAAAAGAGGAAGGGAGGAAGAGAAAAGGAAGACAAAGAAGGAAAGGGGAGGAAGGCAGAAGGAAGGCGGGAGAGAGATAAAAATGAAAGAGAGGGAGGAAGGAAAGGAGAGGAAGGAGGAAGGAAGAGGGGAGGAGGAGAGAAAGAGGCAAGCAACTAGGAAGGAAGAGGATGAAGAAGAAGAGGAAGTGGTAAAGAGAGAAGGAAGGAAGAAGGAAGGAAGGAGAGGAGAGAAAGAAATGGACCGAGGAGAAAAGAAAGACAAAGAAGGAGGAAGGCAGAAAGAAGGAGGGAGAGAGATAAAAATGAAAGAGAGGGAGGAAGGAAAGAAATGAGAGAAAGGAGGAAAAAAAGGAAGGAGAGAAGGAGGGAGGGGTGGAAGAGAAGGAGAGAAAGCAAGGAAGAAAAGGAAGAGGAACACGAAAGAAAGATAAAAAGGAAGGATGGAAAGAGAGGAAGAAGAAAGGAGAGAAGGTGGGAGGAGGCGAGAAAGGAAGAGAAAAGAAAGATAAAAAGAAAGAGTGACAGATGGAAAGGGGAAGGAGAGAAGGCGGGCGGGCTGGAAAGAATCTGGTTAGGGAAGATTCTGGAAAGACCTGGCGTTATGGGTTTCTAACACACCTTCTCCTCCTTTTTTGCTCCAGGTTCTGACCCGATTCCAGAGGACCTGTGAGCCCCGGTGAGGTGGGCAGGCGGCCCAGCCGAGGTCGGAGTCCCCTGCCCGCCCTCAGCATGAATCCCAGTTCTCCAGTGTGTCTGGTCATCCCCGTTGCCAGCCTGCTCTCCTGGCTGATGACCGGCTGCGCCACCGAAAGTAAGTCTCGAACACGGCACCCACTCCCGATTTGGCAAAAAACCCGGAGCTCGTGGACATGTTTCTCCAGTCCGTCCTCCGCTCGCTTGGCATCTGGATGCAATAGCGCGGAAGACGCTCTGCACATGTTCAGGATGCTCTTGTCCTTCCAAGAAGAGGACAAGAGCACTTTGAACATGTGCAGAGTGTTGCGGGAGACACGGAAAGGAAGAAGCTGATTGGTTTAGGGCTGAAGGGACGGGGAAGGGACGCTCTAATGTGGCTCTAAATGGCAAGATTAGAACCCAGGACTGGGGAAGGAAAGATGGGGAGCAGGATGTTAGTAGGCCCTTACAGCTGCAAGATAAGGGAGAGTTTCTACAAAGGAAGAACGACAGGTAGTTCTCGACTTACAACTGTTTTTTTAGTGACCGTTCCAAGTTACAACGGCATTGAAAAAAGTGATTTATTATCTTGGTTAGTTATGATGGATCTGGTTTTGTGTAAGCTACTCGAAAAGCTTTGCTGAGGGCCGGCATAACAAACTTTTAATGAAATAAAAAAGCTCCTTGTTTTTCATTCCGATTGTATACAAACTCAGGCAGTTCATTTGCAAGGCTGGTTATAAATGATTAAAACGGAGTTTTCCCACCCTTGGCATTTCCAGGTGTGTGGACTTCAATTCCCAGAATTCCCCAGCCAACAGAATTTCCCAGCTTTGTTGGGAAATGGAATAATGGAAAATGGAAAAGATTGAGGGACCCCATCTAAATTTCTCCTCCTTCCCCATTTCTTTTCTTTTTTTTCTCTGAGCTCCCGTGACTTGTCCCAGCTTCTGCCAACCTAGCAGTTCAAAAGGACGTAAAAAATGCATGTAGAAAAAGAGGGACCCCCTTTGGTGGGAAGGTAACACAGCGTTCCATGCGCCTTTGGCATTGAGTCATGCCGGCCACATGACCACGGAGACGTCTTCGGACAGTGCTGGCTCTTGGGCTTTGAAACGGAGATGAGCACTGCCCCCTAGACTCGGGAACAACTAGCACATATGTGCGAGGGGAACCTTTATCTTTAGCTTTACTATACAGTCAGTAAATATAAAAATTTTGTTTATTGGATTACAGATCTCTGTTTAATTGTTCTGTTAACTCAACTTGCTGTGAAACGAAGGAAGGAAGGAAGGAAGGAAGGAAGGAAGGAAGGAAGGAAGGAAGGAGCGGTAAGAGAGAGAGGAAGGAAGGAAAGAGGGAGGGAGGAAGGAAGGAAAGAGGGAGGGAGAGAGAGGAAGGAAGGAGGGGTGAAGGAGGAAAGAAGGAGGGGTGAGGGAGAGAGGAAGGAAGGAAAGAGGGAGGAAGGAGGGATGAGGGAGGGAGGGAGGAAGGAAAGGGGAGGAGGGAGGAGGGGTGAGGGAGGAAGGAAGGAAAGAGGGAGGGAAGGAAGGAAGGAAGGAAGGAACGAAGGAAGGAAGGAAGGAAGGAAGGAAGGAAGGAAGGAAGGAAGGAAGGAAGGAAGGAAGTTGTGTACAGGCCTATACCTTTTACTACTAAAGTCAACAAATGGTATTTTTTTCCAGGCTCCTAAATCGTAACGTATTTAAAAGTTAATGCCTTGAAACTTCCTCGGATGGCGTGTAAAGTGGAGTTTATCTCTTAAATCCTTCCATTCTGCACCCTCAATCCTGAGCAAGGAGTTTACTGAGGTTGCTTATTGCACTGATATCTCAAAATATTATGTGGCAAAGGCTTAAAATTGATTTTTTTTCCCTCCCACTGGCGGCTCAAAAGTGTTAGTTGGTGCCAGAAATTCTGTGCACGACTTAAAAGGCAGTTTCTTTATTAAATGTAAAGCCTCCCTCAGTTCCTGATGGCTACCAGAAATTATCCATGCAGCTTTCAGAGTTGCAAAAAGCTTTTTCTGGGAATTTTCTTTCTTAGGGGAGTTTCCCCTAGGAACTGTTTTAATTGTTGTATGCTGCCCAGACTCGCTTTTTTGTGAGATGGCTGGCCACATAAATTTGATAAACAAGTAAATAGTTAATCGCTGGGTGGCCTCCCATCCAAGTTGGATCAAACCAGATCTAGCCTTTCCTGAGATCAGCTACGGTCAAGGAACTGCCTCTTCTGAATTAATGCTTTGTTGGCATTAACAGAATACCAGAGTGGGAAGGAATAAGAGAATGACAAAGTTGGAAGGGACCTTGAAGGTGTTCTAGTCCAACCCCCTGCTTAGGCAGGAAACCCTATACCACTTCAGACAAATGGTTATCCAACATCTTCTTAAAAACTTCCAGTGTTGGAGCATTTACAACTTCTGGAGGGAAGTTCTTCCACTGATTAGTTTTTCTAATGTCAGGAAATTCCTCCTTAGTTCTAGGTTGTTTCTCTCCTTGATTAGTTTCCACCCATTGCTTCTTGACCTGCCTTCAAGTGCTTATTTGTTCCCACAACTTCTGGAGGCAAGCGGTTCCACTGATTAATTGTTTTTTAAAAAAAGGAAGGAACAGGAAGGAAGGAAGGAAAGAAAGAAAGAGAGTGAAAGAATGAAAGGGAAAGGAAAGATGATAGATAGATAGATAGATAGATAGATAGATAGATAGATAGATAGGAGAGAGAGAGAAGGAAAGGAAAGAAACGAAGAAAGGAGAGGGGAAGATGAAAGGAAGGAGAAGAGATGGAGAGAAAGAGGGAGGAAGTGAGTGGTAAGAAAAGTCATAAAATGGGGCAAAACTCACTTAACATTTATCTCGCTTAGCAATAGAAATCTCGACCTCCATTGTCATAAATTGAGGACTTGTACACAGTGAAACCATTTTCTGGACTTATTTTATGACACGTAAACAAGTAGGTGGAGTTTGCACAACGTGCCAAGCCACACACCGAAATCGCACTTCTGAACTTTGTATGTTGTGCAAATATTAACTGCTGTGACTTTCACAGAATCGGTTGAGTCTTTAGGGCAAATAGCAGCGAATTGAACTGAATTGTTTTCCTTTCCTACTTTTAGCTTTAGCTTCGGCCATCTCCGCTGTGACCGTTCATAACCAGAATTTATTGGTCAGTTTGTTGGATCACCCAAGGTGGTATTTTAACATTCAGATTACAGATTAACAGAGTTGGAAGGGACCTTGGAGGTCATCTAGTCCAACCCCCCGCCCAAGCAGGAGGCCCTACACCATTTCTGACAGAGGGCAGTTCAGTCTCTTCTTGAAAGCCTCCATGGATGAAGCTCCCACAACTTCTGAAGGCAACTTAGGTTGAATCTCTCCTTGTTCTGTTTCCATCCATTGTTCCTTGTCTGGCCTTCAGGTGCTTTGGAGAATAGCTTGACCCCCTTCCTCCTCTCTGGGGCAGCCCCTCAAATATTGGAAGATGCTCTCCTGTCTCCCCTGGTCCTTCTCTTCACTAGACCAGCCATGCTGAGTACTTAACAGATTGGAGTTGGAAGGGACCTTGGAGGTCATCTAGTCCAACCCCTTTTCCGAGCAGGAGACCCTACACCATTTCTGACAGGTGGCAGTCCAGTCTCTTCTTGAAAGTCTCCAGTGATGAAGCTCTCACAACTTCTGAAGGCAACTTCTGTTCCATGTTCTCACTGTCAGAAAATTCCTCCTTATTTCCAGGTTGAATCTCTCCTTGGTCAGTTTCCATCCATTCTTCCTTGTCTGGCCTTTGGGGGCTTTGGAGAATAGCTTGACCCCCTTCCTCCTCTCTGGGGCAGCCCCTCAAGTATTGGAAGATGCTCTCCTGTCTCCCCTGGTCCTTCTCTTCACTAGACTAGCCAGGCCCAGTTCCTGCAACCGTCCATCGTATGTTTGAGCCTCCAGTCCCCTCATCATCCTGGTTGCTCTTCTCTGCACTCTTTCTAGAGTCTCCACATCTTTTTTATAGTGTGGGGACCAAAACTGGATGTAGGACTCTAGGTGTGGCCTTACTAAGGCTTTATAGAGTGGTGTTAGTAACTCACTTGTTCTTGATTGTATCATTTTCCTTAACAAACAATAAATGTAAAAGATTTATGGTCTGTTGCTTACTTAACTATTAGATTTAAAAATACTTAGTCAACTTTCTTCGGTGGGATATAGACAGTACTCAACAGAATTTAGTACTCTGTTCGCTTTTGTCTATGGAGATTCTCCATCATCCAGGTCACAGTTGTCCTAAAGGTGCTTTTTTTCAGGAGGCAACTGGAATTTCCTTTGTTTTTCCTTGAAGACGTTTCTTCTTGAAGAAGCTTCTTGGATGAGAAGCGAGACGTCTTCAAAGAAAACCCGGAAAGTCCAGTTGCCGCTTCAAAAAGCATCCGTGACCTGGATGGCGGAACATCTCCATAGACACGCGGACTATCAAAGGGAGGCCAATCTTACCTCAGCAGGGGTGATGTTCCACAGGGAGGGAGCCACCACCGAGAAGGCCCTTCGTCTGGGTCCCACCAGACGGACCTCCTTAAAAAGGGGGGCCCTTAACGTCCCCTACCTCCTCACTATGGTGGGTTAGGTGGATGTAACTGGGGAAAAGACAGTCCTTCAAGTAACCTGGCCTTAAGCCATGGAGGGTAGCAACCAGCACTTTTAAATCAAACCCTGAAGGAGGATTTTTCATCAGGTTCGCCTGATTCGCCAGTTGCGTCCCTTTCTGGATTGGGACTCCCTACGCACGGTCACTCATGCCCTCGTCACCTCTCGTCTGGACTATTGTAACGCTCCCTACATGGGGCTCCCCTTGAGGTGCACTCGGAGGCTCCAACTGGCGCAGAGTGCGGCCGCGAGGGTGGTGATGGGAGTGACATGGAGTTCCCATGTAACACCTCTCCTGCGCGAGCTGCACTGGCTTCCGGTGGTCTTCCGGGTGCACTTCAAGGTTTTGATTATCACCTTTAGAGCGCTCCATGGCTCAGGACCTGGTTATCTATGGGACCGCCTGCTACCACCAATAGCCTCCCACCGGCCAGTACGCTCTCATAGAGAGGGGCTCCTCCGGGTGCCGTCGGCCAAACAATGTCGACTGGCGGCCCCCAGGGGGAGAGCCTTTTCTGTGAGGGCACCTACGATCTGGAACGATACGGAGGATCCCGGATCTGCGCACCTTCCGCCGCGCTCTTAAGATCTTTTTATTCCACCAGGCGGGCCTGGCCTAATCTTTTCCCTCTTTTTAATTATGCAAATTTTAATCGGTTTTTAAATGATTGGGGTGTTTTAATCTGTCTGGGCCAAATTGTTTAATTCAATTTTACTTTGTTTTTAAATTTTTTATCTATGAATTTTTACTGTTTGGCTGTTCACCGCCCTGAGTCCTTCGGGAGTAGGGCGGTATATAAATCAAATAAAGTAAGTAAGTAAGTAAGATCGGCAGCCAATGCAGCTCCCACAAGAGAGGGTGACACATGTGCAAATTTAGGCTTGCACAAAAACCACCTGAGTTGCCTCATTTTGAACCGGCCGGAGCTCTCGGATACTCTTCAAGGGCAGCCCCACGTAGAGCGCATTGTGGTAGTCAAGACGAGAGGTGAATTGGGCGTGGGCGACCGTGGAGCAGCGATGGTTGATCTGGGATATGTTGCTTAGATAAGTTTGGCTTCGGACTTCTGGGCTGGCTCGCGACTTGACGTTGCCTTGTCTTCCCTTTCACAGTCCGTGAATGAGTTCCTGGAGTCCGTGGGCGCCCCGTTGGAGATCCTGGATGGCTTCATCGACAGCATTGCCGTCACCATCCCCTGGTCTGCCTTAGTCACCGAGAACTGCACTGTGGAAGTCAGCGGGCTGCAGGTCACCTGTCGGCCCAAATATCGCCAAGGTGGGAGCCAGAGGGGGGAGAGGGGGGAACAAGGCTGAGTGGCTGTGGATGCCAGCACCTCGTGTTCTTGAGGTCCCGTCACTTTCGATGGGGGTGGGGGGGAGGTACTAGCTCCCTCTGAAAGGGTTCGCAACTTGGGTGTCCTCCTGGATTCCCGGCTATCTCTAGAAGACCACTTGACGGCCGTGACCAGGGGGGCTTTTGCACAGGTTCGCCTGGTGCGCCAGTTGCGTCCTTTCCTAGACTGAGATGCCCTTTACACAGTCACTCATGCCCTGGTTACTTCTCGCTTGGATTACTGCAACTCCCTCTACATGGGGCTGCCCTTGAGGTGCACCCGGAGGCTCCAGCTGGTCCAGAATGCAGCCGCGCGGGTTGTTACGGGAGCTCCCCGTTACTCCCGTGTTACATCCCTCCTGCGTGAGCTTCACTGGTTATCGGTGGTCCTCCGGATCCACTTCAAGGTGCTGGTACTTACCTATAAAGCCTTACATGGCTTAGGTCCGGGGTAGAGCTGCCCTCCTCAGAGTGCCGTCGACCAGACAATGTCGTCTGGCGGCACCCAGGGGTAGGCCGTTCTCTGTGGGCGCACCTACCCTCTGGAATGGGCTACCTACCGAGCTCCGGACAGTGCCCGATCTCCACTCTTTCCGCCGTGGCCTAAAGACTTGCCTATTCCATCAAATGGGCTGGTTCTGATTCCGGGGTTTTTACTATTGAATTATTTTAGATTTCTAATTGGTTTTAATTAGGATTTTATTTTGTTGTCGTTTGTTTTTCAATCTTCTGTTCGCCGCCCTTTTTTAAAAAGTTTTTAAATTTTTTTTTTATTAGATTTATATACCGCCCTACTCCCGAAGGACTCAGGGCGGTGAACAGGCACAGAATAAAATACATAGATACAGAAGTTAAAAGACATAATTAAAACCAGATTAAATAATTTAGCCCAAGACAATTAAAAAATCCCAATAATTTAAAACAGATTAAAATTTCGATTTAAAAGAAATTTAAAACGGGGGAGAATATTAGGCCAGGCCGGCTTGCTGGAATAGGAGAATCTTAAGAGCACGGCGGAAAGTGCGTAGATCCGGGATCCTCCGTATCTGAGTCCTTCGGGAGTCCTGAGTCCTTCGGGAGAAGAGCGGCATATAAATATATGTAAATCAATAAAATAAATAAATAAATTGGGGCCAGCTGGCTAGAGCCAAAATCAATCAATCAAAGAGTAGAGCTGGAAGGGACCTTGGGGGTCATCTAGTCCAACCCCCTGCTCAAGCAGGAGGCCCTATACCCGTGATGGCGAACCTATCACACGGAGCCATATCGGTGGGCACGCAAGCGTCGCCCTAGCCCAGCTCCGGCACGCATACGCATACGCATGCCAGCCAGCTGATTTTTAGACCTGGGCCCACCGGAAGTAGGGAAACAGGCTGTTTTCGGCCTCCCGGGGAGGGGGGAGCCCATTTTTTGCCCTCCCCAGGCTCTAACAAAGCCTCTGGAGCCTGGGGAGGGTGAAAAATGGGCCTACTGCACCATTGCATGCCAAAAGTGGGAGGAGCACAGGGGGTTCACGCGTGCATGCGCGGAGGGACGGTCGCATTGAATTATGGGTGTGGGCATGCGTGACTCACCCATGCTCCCCCCTGCTTTTGGCACACGACGGCAAAAAGGTTAGCCATCACCGTCCTATACCTTTTCTGACAGATGGCTGTCAAATCTCTTCTTAAAAACCTCCAGTAATGAGTGAAATTCTGGTGGCAAGCTGTTCCACTGGTTAATTGTCCTCACTGTTAGAAAGTTTCTCCTTAATTCCAGGTTGCTTCTCTCCTTGATTAGTTTCCATCCATTGTTTCTTGTCCTGATTTCTGGTGCTTTGGAGAATAATTTGACTCCCTCTTCTTTGTGGCAGCCCCTCAAATACCGGAATACTGCTATCGTGTCCCCCCTAGTCCTTCTTTTCTCTAGACCAGCCCTACCCAATTCCTGCAGCCGTTCTTCGTATGCTTTAATCTCCAGGCCTTTAATCGTCTGAGTTGCTCTTCTCTGCGCTTTTTCCAAAGTCTCAACATCTTTTTTTGTACTGTGGTAACCAGGGTGGATTTGATTTAAATCGAGTTGATTTAAATCACAATTTAAGTCATGATTTAAATCACTAGTAAAAAGGCTTGATTGAAATCAACTTGATTTAAATCGTAATTTTTAAAGAGCAACTGTCATCTCTGCTACTCCTTTGACCCACTGTTGACTCACCGATAGTCCCAGTGTTGCAGAATATACAGCCTCATGCTACATAACTAAGCTCCATTTCATGCCGAATAAACTAAATTATTTATGTATCTTAAATAGAAAACTATCTTACGATAGATTTTTACCCCAAAAGTTTTTTATTAAAATAAATTGGATAAAAATCAACAAAATCCGATTTAAATCAAAAAATATCCGATTTTTTTGATATTTTTTTTTAAAAAATCATTGATTTTTATCCACCCTGTGTCAGACTGCGGTGCTACCTCAAAATTAAATGAATTTCCAAACTGCCAATCTTTAAGGAAATCTTTCTTTAATTGAGCTCAGCCACCGGATCATGACTCCGCGCGGACAAGACTGACCTTTTGCCTCCCAATCCCTCCCTTTCCGATCCCCAAATCTCTGCTTCTCATTGGCTGTCTTCCAAGTCATTCTTCAGACTTCTTTTCCTCGCCATTTCCCAGGAATGTGCCCCCCTCCCCTCATTTCCACGACAACCAAGCTTCAAAGGGATTTTGCAGGCAAAAGTTTCAGAGTTTATCTCTCGCTCTCCTCTGCTCTCTCTCTATGCCAGCGTTGCAACGCTGACACCCTGGTGGTAACCAAAACTGGATGCAGAATTCCAGGTGTGGCCCTTACTAAGGATTTGTAAAGCGGTATTAATACGTCACGTGATTTTGATTCTGTGCCTCGGTTTATACAACCAAGGATTGTATTCGATTTTTTTGGCTGCCGCCGCACACGGCTGGCTCGTGTTTAAGTGAGCCTCTGAGAGAAGGGAATGTCCTGCTGCCTTTCTCTGCTTCCTTACCTGCTTTTCTAACCTCTCCGTACCTTTTCCTCCCCCCCACCTCCAGGTCATGCTGGCTCAGAGTCCCAAAGCTGGCCTTCATCCATGACCACCTCCATGCAGCTGGCTCAGGAGTGCTTGAAGGAACAGACGGAGGAGCCTTCGGATGCCAGCCAGCCCCTGGAGGGCCTGGAGATGTTTGCCCAAACCATTGAAACAGGTAGGTGGGAAGTGCAGGTGGGAGAGACGGGGAGGGGCTGGGAAAGGGGTGTGGAAGGGGGAGGAGACCGAAGCAGCCAAGAGTCGGAGGGTGAACCTGTTGGCAGCTCAGTGTTCTGCCCCAGATACGGACCCCAAAGAACGCACCACACACAAAGTCTGTACAAACCTTAGTTTACTGAATTAAATCAGTCTTTTTCAAACAAAGGCTGTTAAATTAACTTTCTTAACAGCCTACAAGAAACCAAAGAATAAATAATCGTAATCTTAATTACGGTTGGCAGAAAGCCCAGAAGCAATTTGCAGAGAACTAAGATCCAGACGCGAAGGAGAGTGAACGAAGTTGTTCCCTACAGCTTGCTGCAATCGGCATTCCTCCTTAAATAGGCTAAGGGAGTGGCCAATTAGCCCCAAGCCTTACTCTCGAGGAGACCTCCTCCTGAGGAGCCACTCCTGCCTTTTGGCAGCTCTGCGCGCCCATGCATCGAGAAGAGGCTCCTCCTCTTCTTCCTCTTCACTTAAGGGAGCTTCCGGAGGTTCTGAAGGCCCTGGCTGAATCCCCGCCTCTGGCACCACATCTTCTCCAGCCTCCTCACTGTCCGACTCGAGCGCCGGCTGCACAGGCTGCTGGCGCAGCACCACACCAGCCTCCTCGCTGTTGGAATCAGCTACTAGCTGCACAGGCCGCTGACGGGTCACAACACTCAGCCCAAGTGGCAGAAACCGGGAAGGAACATTTCAACCATCTCAAGAGGCTTTGCCAATAACTTTATTGGCACTTTGAATGTACACTCATTGGCATCCATTCAAATGAAATTTGAAATGAAAATGAAATTAATTTGCTGACTACAGTACAGGAATGATCACCCTGGAGCTCAAAATTTGCCTCGCTAAGCGAGACGGGGGTTCAGCGAGTTTTGCCCCCATTTTACGACTTCAACTTGCCACAAGTCGCTAACTGAATCGCTGCCGATCTTAAGTTACTAAACACGGTCGTTATACGAATCTGGCTTCCCTGATGACTTTGCTTGTGAGAAGGTCGCAAAATGGGATCGCATGAGCCCGGGATACTGCAACCGTCATAAATACGAGTTGGATGCCAATCGTCTGAATTTTGATCGTGTGACCACGGGGTTGCCGCAACGGTCGTAAGTGTGAAAAACGATCACGAGTCACTTTTTTTCAGTGCGTTGTGACTTCGAACGGTCACTAAACGGATGGTTGTAAGTTGAGAACTGCCTGTATAAACTTAAGTGGGAGATTCCTCCGATTATTCCCAAGGCTCTTGTGTTTAACGAGGCTTAAAGAGACTGACAGAAATCTATGTACAGGCACTCCTCGAGTTATGACCGGTCGCTCAGCCACGATTTGAAGTTACAACAGCACTGAAGAAAGGGACTTGTAATCAAGGCTGGACATGGCAATGGCCGCCCCCCTGGTCACATGACCAGCATGTGGGGCACCCACATCACCTAACCCATAGTTACAGCCGTTTGCAGTCACATGACCAGGTTACACGATGGTTTTACCAAAACCCAGCATTAACTTCTGGTGTTCCGCAAAATCGATCCATAGCGAACCATGGTTTTGTTTAACGACTGCTGGGAAAAATGTCATGAAATTGGGTCAGAGACGTGAATGAGATGGGTATTGTGGCCTGCCAGCAGCCAGCAGAGCTGGCAGCAGATTCGGACGGTGAGGAGGTTGGGGAGGAACATGGGCCAGTCCTGGAGTCTGGGGAGGGCTCTGACGAGAGCTCTGCGTTGGAGGCAGAGAGGGGGCCAAGGCCATCAGACAGTTATCAGCTGCCTTCAGAGTCAGACATCAGTGAGGCAGACGAACAGCTGGGGCCTGTTCCCAGAGTGAGCATACATGCAGAGCTGCCAGACGAAGGGAACAGCTAAAGAACAAGGGGCGACTCAGGAGTAAAGCCACAGGTGGACGGTGCAATGGCCCCTCCCAGAGGGAATAAAAGAGGAGCGGAAGGGGAGTGGAGTTTGCAGGAGGCAATTAGTTCGTTTAGTTGGTTCATGACTCCTTGCCAAGTTTTGAAGATATCGGCCTGGCAGCTCTCCAAGCCAGATAAGGTCTGTGACTGTAAATTCTCCCTTGAAAGACTTTGCTGGATGTGAATGAGAGGAATTAATAAAATAACTTAATAAAAAGGGTTTTTTGTTGGGACAAGGACTCTGCTTCGTGCTCTTGGGAAGCATAGCTCAGAACAATGGGATCGTAGAAGGCCAGGGATAGAAAGGACTTATTTATTTATTGATTGATTGATTGATTGGTTCGATTTATATGCCGCCGTTCTCCGGAGACTCAGGGCGGCTTACAATGCGTTAAGCAACAGCCTTCATACTTTTGTATATACCTGCTTAGTAGGGCTTTCGCGCCCCCCCCCCCAGAGGTCTTCTTTTTTTATACAAAGTCAGCTTATTGCCCCCACAATCCGGGTCCTCATTTTACCTACCTCGGAAGGATGGAAGGCTGAGTCAACCTTGAGCCTGGTGAGATTCGAACTCGCAGTAATTGCAAGCAGCTGATGCTACTTAACAGCACTTTAGTCTGCTGCGCACCGAGGCTCTTCCTTCTTCCAGTCCAGGTCCCTGCCCAGTTCACCACCCTGCTGGTGGCCACTCCAGAGTAGAAACCCAAGTACGGCGCAAGGAACGCCAGTCCTTAAACAAATCAGAGCCACGGAGTGTCTTGAGTCTCGATAGGAGAAGAGAAGTTGACTTTCCCTGCTCTGCAGCCCGAATCTTCCTTGGCGTCTTCTGTTTTTTTTTCTCTCTCCCAGTTCTGAGACGGATCGAAGTCACTTTTGTGGACACGGTGATACGCGTGGAACACACGCCCAGAAGCGGGGAGGCACCCGGCGTGGCCCTGGAAATTCACATCAAAAGGTCAGCTTTTGGTGATTTGGTGCCCGTTTCCCCCCACCCCCCCACCCCCAAATTCTATCAAGAAAGTCATGGCGTAAGAAGGAAGGGGCACTTCTAGGAGCCACGTTGGCTGAGGGATTCTGGGAAACGGGCACCTCAAACCGTCTGGAGGGCACCATTGTGGGGGAAAGTCACACCTTGGCTACCTGGAGAGCCACAATAGGGGGGTTAACTGAAAAAGGCAGTGGGATTAAAGCCGTGGTGGTGGCACAGTGGTTAGAATTCAGGGTTGCAGATTAACTCTGCCAACTACAAGCCAACTCCCACTCCTGCACACCGCCAGAATCATATCACGGGGGTGTAGGGACCGGGGGGAATCTAAATGAAGAATTGTTTCATCATCCTCATCCTCATTTAATGACCCCATAATCCCTTGCGGAATGGAGTCTGGGCAACTGAATGGAGCTAGCAGAGTGTTTTACTGGCCGGATGCCTTTCCTGTCGCCCATGAGGAGTTTTGTTCGGCAGATATATTCTCACGGTACCCAGAGAGAGAAATATCTGCCTCTACCTAGGATCGAACTCACAGTCTCTGGATTGCGAGGCGAGAGCTCCCCCTCTAGGCCACCGCACCACTGACCCAAACCACGGATGCCTTGAGTTAGCACGATGGGAAATGGCTGGGGTCAGGGGTGGTTTTGTAAAATTTTTTACTATCAGTTCTGTGGGCGTGGCTTATTTTGTGGGCGTGGCTTGGTGGGTGGATAATGTGACTGGGTGGGCATGGCCAATTTTTTTTTTTTTTACTTTTAAAAGCATTTTTTCTACAACCTTAAGAGGTTGCAGAAAAAAATGCTTTTAGGAGCCTCTGACGATCAGGCCACTCAGCTGGGATGGCCAGAGGCTTTTAAAGGCACTTTTTTTCCCTACAACCTCTTCGGCTGAAAAAATGCTTTTAAAAGTAAAAAAAAAAAAAAAGCCTCTGATGAGGTAGGCGGGGTAAGCGAGGGGCGACCAGGCTGGGGACCGGTTCGGGGGCGTGGCCAGCCAATGTTATTACCGGTTCTCCGAACTACTACAAATTTTTACTACCAGTTCTTGTGAACCGGTGCAAACCGGGAGCAACCCACCACTGGCCGGGGTCTTGTTCTGAGTGTCCCCCCCCTCCTCTCTTTACAGGTTGGACTACTGCGATGAAGTGGTGCGGGATCCCGGCCAGGCGGTAGCTGTCGACATCCATCAGCCTCCGCCGTTTGTGCACAAAATCCTCCAGCTGAGTGGCCTCTTGCTTTACTATGAGGAATTTGGTGAGGGCAGTGCCCGGGGCCCGAAGGTATGGCCTTGTGGGAGATCCTCCTCCCGTCTCGGGGGTGGGTACCAACAGTCCCGCTCAATCACCTAGCAAAGAAAGGCTCCTGCCCGGTTGTTTTTGCCAAGAGTAGAGTTTACGGAAGCTTTAAGTCTATTGCTGAGCACATTGTAAGCCGCCCTGAGTCTTCGGAGAAGGGCGGCATATAAATCAAATTAAAAAAAAAAAAAAAAGTCAGAGGTCTGCAAACTTGGCAGCGTTAAGACTTTGTGGACTTCAACTCCCAGAATTCTCCAGCCAGCTATGCTGTGCAATTCCGTTAGATTAAAACAGAGACCCCCTCCCCTTGGTCCGATGTTGAATAAGCAAATCCGCAGGTGCAAAGTTGTTTTGAAAATCACAGGTTGAGAAAGTGATAAGAAGTTGTTCTCAGGCGTCTCTTGCTGGAGGCTTCGGAGCTGAGACAAAACAGTTGGCCCTCCCCCAGGGGTGAAATCCAGCAGGTTCTGACAGATTCTGGAGAACCGGTAGCGGAAATTTTGAGTAGTTCGGAGAACTGGCAAATACCACCTCTGGCTGGCCCCAGAGTGGTGTGGGAATGGAGATTTTGCAGTATCTTTTCCCTGGAGTGGGGAGGGAATGGGGATTTTGCAGTATCCTTCCCCTGGAGTTGGGTGGGAATGGAGATTTTGCAGTATCCTTCCCCTGGAGTGGAGAGGGAATGGAGATTTTGCAGTATCCTTCCCCTGGAGTGGGGAGGGAATGGGGATTTTGCAGTATCCTTCTCCTGGAGTGGTGAGGGAATGGAGATTTTGCAATATCCTTCCCCTGGAGTGGTGAGGGAATGGAGATTTTGCAGTATCCTTTCCCCAGGAGTGGGGGGGGGAATGGGGATTTTGCAGTATCCTTCCCCCAGGAGTGGGGAGGGAATGGGGATTTTGCAGTATCCTTCCCCCAGGAGTGGGGAGGGAATGGGGATTTTGCAGTATCCTCCTGGAGTGGTGAGGGAATGGAGATTTTGCAATATCCTTCCCCCAGGAGTGGGGAGGGAATGGGGATTTTGCAGTATCCTCCTGGAGTGGTGAGGGAATGGAGATTTTGCAATATCCTTCCCCCAGGAGTGGGGAGGGAATGGGGATTTTGCAGTATCCTTCCCCCTGGAGTGGGGAGGGAATGGAGATTTTGCAGTATCCTTCCCCTGTCACGCCCACCAAGCCACACCACACCCACCAAGCCACACCCACAGAACCAGTAGTAAAAAAAATTGAATTTCAGCACTGCCCTCCCCATCTTACTTTCCCCTGAAGGTAAATCAAAGCACAGGATAGATAGGCACCAGGAAAAAGGTTCTAAACTAAGGACCCCCTCCCCAACAGAATGGCAGCGTCCCGATTGGGATCTATGGGACCTGACACCCCCCCCCTTTGCATTCCAATGCCTTTTCTCCCTCCTCCCGTTGCTGATGTCTGGTTGCCAGCAGGCTTTGCCCAGCGAGCCGACTGTGACACACTCCCGTCTTTCCGTCCCCGTTGCCAATGTCAGGCGGTCAGCTCCTGAAGCTTGGATGGCAGAGATGCAGCCGTGACAGCGGGCGGAGTAGCTCGGGGTCAGCTGGGACTCTTTGTCCCTTTTGGATGGCAGCTGCCATTCTGCAAGTCTCCGGCGTATTGTTTTTTTTAGGGAAGTTTGATTTCCTTTTTTTCCCAGGAGGCTGAGCCGTGCGATTCCGGCGGGGAAGAAGCCGGACCCAGTCCTCTGCTTCAGATCGGGAGCTGCTCCGGATACACCGAGATGAGGATTAAGCTCAAGCAAAACGAAGCCTTCCCTGGAGCCAAGGTCATTTGGGTTCAATCCTGGCTTGTTGAATACATCCAGGAAACTTGGGAATGCGAAAACTAGCATGATTGTTGACTTTCTTGCCTGTCTTTCTGTCAAGAAATTTATTTGTTGGTTCGATTTATATGCCACCCTTCTCCGGAGACTCAGGGCGGCTTACAATGCGTTAAGCAGTAGCCTTCATACTTTTGTATATACCTGCTTAGTAGGGCTTTCGTCCCCCCCCCAAGCGGTGTTCTTTTTTTAATACAAAGTCAGCTTATTGCCCCCACAATCCGGGTCCTCATTTTACCTACCTCGAAAGGATGGAAGGCTGAGTCAACCTTGAGCCTGGTGAGATTTGAACTTGCAGTAATTGCAGGCAGCTGGTGTTACTTAACAGCACTTTAGTCTGCTGCGCCACCAAGGCTCGGAATCCAGGAATGAGTCACGAAGTTCTCCCTGTTTGATTTTAACAGCCTCGCAGGTTAGGCTAAACAGAGCAAAGGAAAGATGAGCTTAAGTGTACAAGTAGTCCTCGACTTACGACCGTAACTGCGCCCAAAATTTCCATTGCTAAGCGAGGCATTTGCGAAGCCCCATTTTACGACCTTTCTTGCCACCGCTGTTAAGGGAATCCCTGCAGTTGTGAAGTTTGCAACGTGGCGCTTCATTGACTCCGCCTTCCCCATCGACTTGGCTTGTTGGAAGACTGTGAATCACATGACGCTGGAGCCGTCATAAATATGAATCGATTCTCAAAATGTCTGAACTCTGATCACGTGACCATGGGGACGCTGCAGTGGTTGTAAGTGTGAAAAAAATGATCATAAGTCACTTTTTTTCCGGGCCGTGGTATCTTTGAATGGTCACTAAACAAACCGTTGTAAGTCGAGGACTATCTGTAGTGTAGGAGAAGGACAGGCAGAGTCAAGAGAGGAATTAGCCTAGAGTTGTTAATAACCACAAGCAGCCCAACCCGCTTGAGTTCTGTTAACCTTTATCTAAATAAGACTGGGTTTTATATTAATTTTTGCTCCAAAAGATGCATTAGGTCTTATTTTCCAGTTAGGTCTTATTTTTGGGGAAATACTGCGATAAATCCGTCCGCCTGGCTGACGATCTTCACTGGGGCTTATTTTGGGGATAGGGCTTATATTACGAGCATCCTGAAAAATCATGCTAGGGCTTATTTTCCAGTAATTGCAGGCAGCTGGTGTTACTTAACAGCACTTTAGTCTGCTGCGCCACCAAGGCTCGGAATCCAGGAATGAGTCACGAAGTTCTCCCTGTTTGATTTTAACAGCCTCGCAGGTTAGGCTAAACAGAGCAAAGGAAAGATGAGCTTAGGTGTACAAGTAGTCCTCGACTTACGACCGTAACTGCGCCCAAAATTTCCATTGCTAAGCGAGGCATTTGCGAAGCCCCATTTTACGACCTTTCTTGCCACCGCTGTTAAGGGAATCCCTGCAGTTGTGAAGTTTGCAACGTGGCGCTTCATTGACTCCGCCTTCCCCATCGACTTGGCTTGTTGGAAGACTGTGAATCACATGACGCTGGAGCCGTCATAAATATGAATCGATTCTCAAAATGTCTGAACTCTGATCACGTGACCATGGGGACGCTGCAGTGGTTGTAAGTGTGAAAAAAATGATCATAAGTCACTTTTTTTCCGGGCCGTGGTATCTTTGAATGGTCACTAAACAAACCGTTGTAAGTCGAGGACTATCTGTAGTGTAGGAGAAGGACAGGCAGAGTCAAGAGAGGAATTAGCCTAGAGTTGTTAATAACCACAAGCAGCAGCCAACCCGCTTGAGTTCTGTTAACCTTTATCTAAATAAGACTGGGTTTTATATTAATTTTTGCTCCAAAAGATGCATTAGGTCTTATTTTCCAGTTAGGTCTTATTTTTGGGGAAATACTGCGATAAATCCGTCCGCCTGGCTGACGATCTTCACTGGGGCTTATTTTGGGGATAGGGCTTATATTACGAGCATCCTGAAAAATCATGCTAGGGCTTATTTTCCAGTTGGGTCTTATTTTGGGGGAAATACGGTACTAAATGCATCCATCTGGCTCACAATCTTAACTGGGGCTTATTTTGGGGGTAGGGCTTATATTACGAGCATCCTGAAAAATCATGCTAGGACTTATTTTCCGGTGGGTCTTATTTTGGGGAAAATACGGTACTAAATGCACCCATCTGGCTCACAATCTTAACGGGCTTATTTTGGGGGTAGGGCTTATATTCGAGCATCCTGAAAAATCATGCTAGGGCTTATTTTCCAGTTGGGTCTTATTTTGGGGGAAATACGGTACTAAATGCATCCATCTGGCTCACAATCTTAACTGGGGCTTATTTTGGGGTAGGGCTTATATTACGAGCATCCTGAAAAATCATGCTAGGACTTATTTTCCGGTTGGGTCTTATTTTGGGGAAAATACGGTACTAAATGCACCCATCTGGCTCACAATCTTAACTGGGGCTTATTTTGGGGGTAGGGCTTATATTACGAGCATCCTGAAAAATCATGCTAGGACTTATTTTTCGGTTGGGTCTTATTTTGGGGGAAATACGGTACTAAACGCATCCATCTGGCTCACAATCTTAACTGGGGCTTATTTTGGGGTAGGGCTTATATTACGAGCATCCTGAAAAATCATGCTAGGACTTATTTTCCGGTTGGGTCTTATTTTGGGGAAAATACGGTACTAAATGCATCCATCTGGCTGACAATCTTAACTGGGGCTTATTTTTGGGGGTAGAGTTATATTACGAGCATCCTGAAAAATCATGCTAGGACTTATTTTCCGGTTGGGTCTTATTTTCGGGGAAAAACACAGCACCAGAATAGTGTTGACGGTTAGCTCAGTAGATTCAGTAGATTCCTACCAAATTCGCCGAACCGGTAGTTGCAAGGACTGTCTGGCCCCTCCCCTCCCAGGAATCTCCACGTGGCCTGTTTTGGATGCCAGGTAAGTGCAGAACCTGTGCGGAGGCTCTGGGAGGGCGAAAAATGGGCATTCTGGACGTCCGGAAATGGGTTCATTTCCAGCCTCCGGAGGGCCTCTGAAGCCTGGGGGAGCCGTTTTCACCCTCCTGGAAGCTCGAGGAAAGCCTCCGGAGCCTCGGGGGCGGGGGGAATGGGCCTCTCGGGTCATGCATGCATGCATGGGGTCATGCGCATTGTATTTATGGGTGCCGGCATGCGTGCGCGCTTTTGGCACACAAAGAGAAAAAGGTTAGAACATCATTAGTATAGGGACCTCTGCTCAAGCAGGGGGTTGGACTAGAAGACCTCCGAGGTCCCTTCCTAGTCATATTATTATTCTATATTCTATGTTTTTTAATTGTGAAAGCATGCAAAATCTGTTGGTTTTTCTCCTGAACGCGATGCTCGGTTTAGCGTCCTGTCTAGGTGGGTCTTATTTACGGAATTAGGTTGTAGGGTCCAGGGAGAATATTTCACCCTTTCCTCGCCCGAAACGGGCAGGGAGCTGCTGCTTCTTCTTTTTTTTTTATTGAAAAGTTTTACAAAAAGAAATTTTTTTCCCCAATTTTCTCCCCACCTTTTTCCTCCCCCACCCTCCACCCTTTCCCCCCTCCCCCCCAGACTTCCCAGAGCAAAATACAGGGTATTTCAATTAACAATCATAAACTAAATTAACCTATCCTTAAACTACCAAATACCCCCCCCCCCCCCGAAACCTTAACTCCACTATAGGTAACATAATACTTCTAAAATTTAACATTCATTCATAAGCTATTTGATATTTTCTTGTCTGATACTTATTTTGAATATAATCAATCCATCTTCTCCATTCCGATACGTATCTTTCTTGTGTATAGTCCTTCAAATACGCTGAAATTTTGCCATTTCCGCTAGTTTCGCTACTTTTAATGTTCACTCTTCGTGGGTCTTATTTACCGGAATTAGGTTGTAGGGTCCAGGGAGAATATTTCACCCTTTCCTCGCCCGAAATGGGCAGGGAGCTTCTTCTTTTGACATGGAACGTGGTTCTTTTCCCAACTGCAGCTGGAGTTAGATGGGAAGATTGGATCTCTGCACCTGCTGCTCGCCCCTCGGCAGATCTTGCACCTGACGGACCTTCTCTCATCCCTCAACTTGTCCGGTGAGCGGCGGGAGAGCTGGAGAAGTCATGCTTTAGATCGGTGGTCCCCAACCTTTGTGGCTTGGCGGCCTGGCTGGGAGTGGGGAAGAGGGGAACCGGACTGTGTGAGTGGTGTTGTGACCCAGGCCCAAGTAAGTAGTAGGAAAATCAGTCAGTGAAAAAAACAAACAAACTTTATTCGAACAGCTGAGAATGACTTCATTCCCACCGTCGTTCAACTAAATTAAAGCAAATTCCTCCCAACACAAATTCCTCAGTCCTATCGCAAACCTTGGTCCAATTAGGTAAACTGCCAAAGGCCTTTCTTGGCAAACGTTCAGAAGTCACAGGTGCAAAAATAAATGCAAGACGTAGACGAAGAAGACGACGAAGCTACCAATGTTGTTTTCTGGCAAAGCCCAAACGCCGTTACTGGTCTGTTTTAAGCCTTACGGGAGGGGCCAATCATCTCTTGGCCTTACTCCTGAGTCGTCCTCTTTGCTTGACCTGCTCCTGCCTTCTGGCAGCTCTTCTCATGCATGTATTAGGAAGAGGCTCCTCCTGTTCCTCTGCCTCTCTACTGTCAGCCTCTGGAGGCTCCGGAGTCCACACCTCACTCCCCGATGGCCCCGGCCCCATCTCTGCCTCCGACGCAGAGCCCTCATCCGGGCCTTCCCCAGCCTCCGGGACTGGCCCCTGTTCTTCCTCAGCCTCATTGCTGTCCGACTCCGCTGCCAGCTCCGCAGGCTGCTGGAGAACCACAACAGTCGGCACATGCACCCGTAGCTCGACTTGCACAAGCGGTGAGAGCAGCACATTACGCACATGCGCGCACAGTGGGACTTGTGCAAGTAGAGCACGCATATGCGCACATGCGTCGGCCTGCCACTCCCTTGAGTCGTGCTGTGTGTGCAATGCACCAGCCGGCTGCTTGTGTGGCCTGGTTCCGAATAGTGGGTGGCAGCCCGGGTTGGGGACCCTTGATCTAGATCAGGGGCGTCAAACTGGTGGCCCGTGTCACAAACAGGCCACGCCCACCCCAGATCCGCGACTAGAGAAAACGTCACGTGATGCGGCGAGTTTGACACCCGTGATCTAGATGGTTGAAGGCCTCCAACCTAGGGATCTTGTGGCGCTGAACCTCTTCTCAGTTTTATTTTTATTTTATTTATATTTGAATTTATATACCGCCCTTCTCCCCCTAGGGACTCAGGGCGGTGAACAGCCGAAATTAAAATACATACAATATAAAAGTTAAGATAGCTAAAATAAATTAAATCAATTGGCCCCCAATTTAAAACCCCAAAGCTATACAATTAAAAACTAATTGTAGACTCCCTTGGGAGCCGCCAGCCGACATTGCTTGACCGACGGCACCCTGAGGAGGCCCTCTCTGTGAGAGCTCAAGGTTGGGGGGGGGGTGTCTCCGAACGTAGCCCCTTAAAGACTTGTGGACTTCAACTCCCAGAATTCCCCAGCCAGCATGGCTTGCTGGCTGGGGAATTCTGGGAGTTGAAGTCCACAAGTATTAAGTTGAAGTCCACAAGCTTTAAAAGTGGCCAAGTTTGGAGATCCCTGCTCAAGGTCATCGCATGACCCCAGGCCGCTCTTGCTCAACCCTGAAGGTGTGCGGACTTTACAACTCCCAGAATTCCCCAGCTAGCAAGCCAAGGTTGAGCAGCACTGCCCTAGGCCCTTTTTCCTTGAGAAAAGTAACTCTTGGGCGGTTCATCCTGCACACCTGACTCACTAAATCCCTCAAAGAGGCAGTGTAGATATTTACCCTTAGTCTGCTGGTGAAGCCAACATCTTTGGTCAGCCCAGATGTTGGTTGTGTGAATCTGGAAAATGTGAGAATTGTGCTTCTGGGGGCTGAATATAGGATGAGAGCCAGTTTGGTCTAGCAGTGAAGGTGCTTGGCTGGAAATTAGGAGACTGTGAGTTCTAGTCCAGTCTTAGGCACGAAAGCCAGCTGGGTGACTTTGGGCCAATCACCAGGAGACTGTGAGTTCTAGTCCGCCTTTAGACATGAAAGGGAGCTGGGAGACTTTGGGCCAATCACCAGGAGACTGTGAGTTCTAGTCCAGTTTTAGACATGAAAGCCAGCTGGGTGACATTGGGCCAGTCACTCTTTGTCAGCCCAAACCACCTCACAGGGTTGTTGTTGTTGCAGGGAAAATAGGAGGAGGAAGATATGATGGATCTGTTTGCTGCCTTATTTGTCAAAACAGTAAAGGATGTTAGAATTTGCAGCAATCCAAGCAGCACACAAGTAAAAAATTCAGCAGGATTCATTTATATAAGAAACTCCTTTATGTACAAAAACATAAAGTATGATGCATGTATACAATACCCATGCAGCAGAAGCCAGAACCAGAACTCCGAAGACAGAATACAAAATCACAGACGCTATATAATACAGAGGCTATAATCACTCATATATATATTTACAGATCAGTCAAGCTAAGCCATGCCCAGGCTCCGAGCTGTGTTGAGTCAAGAAACAGTCCACAGTGGCTGACCTGTTACCATGCCTATTCCAATTCATGAACTCTCGTACACTGACACAGGATATAAATAAAAAATAAATGTAAGTTTCGTGGGTGTGGCCCAGAGGTTCGCTCTCATCCAGCTTCTGCAAATACCAAATTACTGATTTCAAGGAATATTGCGACGCCCGATTTTTTTCCCCTCCTTTGTGGAGATTCCCTTCCCTAAATTTTCCTTCTCCTCCTCTCTCTCTCCTTTCCCTCCCCGGCAAAGAATCCGGCCTTCTGCAGGAGCAGCTGAGCAAAAACCGTCCACTGGATTCCGAAGATCTGAAGTTGATTGAGCAGGATCTCAGCCAGCAGCTGCATTCGGGGCTGGGATCGGCCCCTCCGCATCTGGAGGGAATGGCGGCTGGAGTGGAGAACGGAGGTAGGTCCTGGCAAGGGAGCCCTTGAGGGAGATCCGCCTCTCCAACAGATCACACGAGTCAATAGATCTCTTTGACACAGTTTATTTATTTATTTATTTATTGGTTCGATTTAGATGCCGCCCTTTCTCCGGAGACTCAGGGCGGCTCACAATGCGTTAAGCATTGGCCTTCATACTTTTGTATATACCTGCTTAGTAGGGCTTTCGGCCCCCCCAAGCGGTGTTCTTTTTTATACAAAGTCAGCTTATTGCCCCCACAATCCAGGTACTCATTTTACCTACCTCGGAAGGATGGAAGGCTAAGTCAACTTGAGCCTGGTGAGATTTGAACTCACAGTAATTGCGGGCAGCTGGCAGCTAAGTGCTACTTTAACAGCACTTTAGTCCGCTGCACCACCAAGGCTCTTTCGTTGTCATTTCTTAGGTCTCTCTCTGCCTGTGAGACTCCCCTTTTTATGGGTTTTTATGATATGGTAGATCACTTTAGAATTTTGTAAGCTGCCCGGACTCACCTATGTATGAGATGGGCCGCTATATAAATTCGCTCAATAAATAAACAATTACCGTATTTTTCGGAGTATAAGATGCACCTTAGTTTTTGGGGAGGAAAATAAGAAATCTGATTGGCAGGTGGATCGGCTTATCAGAAATACTCCCAATCAGCTGTTCCCAGAGGTGAATTTTAGCAAGGGGTTCCTTGGTTGTGAGCTCTGTGCCTTGCTTTTTTTTTTTTGCTTTTTTTTCTGCCTCTGAAACTTCTGAAACTCTGTTTCAGAAAAAACTTTTTTTCCTGCCTCTGAAAGCCTCCGAAACAGAGCTTCAGAAAAAAAAAGCCTCTGAAGCTCTGTTTGGGGGCTTCTTTTCTGAAGCTTCGTTTCTGAGGCTTTTTTCAGCCTCTGAAACCTCCGTTTGAGAAGCTGGGCGGAGTATACATTCGGAGTATAAGACGCACCCGGATTTTCACCCTCTTTTTTGGGGGGGAAAAGGTGCGTCTTGTACTCTGAAAAATACGGTAATTAATAGAAAAAAAGAGGTGAGAAACCTACACTCATTTTCAGATTTGGAAATCTCTCCAGAATCTAGAATTATTATTTTTTGCACTCTCCACGTGCTCAGTGTCCTCTTTGAAAGACAATGAGAGCTAGCAAATGTTAAACCTAGCACTGATGATGTTACCTACCTTGGATATGAATAAGAATAAGAATAAGAATAATTTTATTTCTATACCGCCCTTCTCCCGAAGGACTCAGGACAGTGTACAGCCTATTAAAACACAAGACAACATTAGTTAAAATAGTTTAAAATTATTAAATGAATTCGGCTCAGATTTAAAACCCCAGAAATTTAAAACCCAATTTAAAATTGTTATGTTGATAGACATATCAACTGTTACGTTGAACATATCATATCAATTGTTATGTTGAAATGTCGGCAAGAAAACAACCAAATTCAGAGAGCAACAAGGGCTTCCTTCCTCCCTCCTCCTCCTCCCCCCCCCCAAACCCAACTCTTTTCTACAACTAATGATGTTCCCAGGAGTGAAATGCTCCCGGTTCGGACCGGATCACCCGATCCGGTAGCGATGGCGGCGGGTGGTTCAGAGAACCGTTAGCAAAAATCCCTGCGCCCCCCCCCCTCTCCACCATGCCCAGCTGAGCCTCACGATCATCAGAGGCTTTTTTTTTTTTTTTTACTTTTAAAAGCATTTTTTTTACAACTTCCGCCGAAAAAATGCTTTTAAAAGTAAAAAAAAAAAAAAAGCCTCTAATCATCGCGTGGCTCAGCTGGGATGTCAGAGGCTTTTCAAAGCATTTTTGAAATGCATCAGCTGTCCTGATTTTAGGGCTGGTTTTTTAAAATTTTGATATGAATTTTAAATTGGAAATGTTTTAAATTATGGGCCAAATCTTATTTAATTATTTTAAACTTATTTTAACTTTTGTATATAAATGCTTTTATTTTTGGCTGTTCACCGCCCTGAGTCCGAAAGGAGAAGGGCGGTATAGAAATTCGAACAAATAAATAAATAAATAAATAAATAAATTTTTTTCTGCAACCTCTTCCGCAACCACCCAAGCTCAGAGAGACCACCAAGGATCCCCTCCTCTCCCAGTAGCAGATGCTAAACCTCCCACCGATTTCCCCTCTGTCCCCCCTGCAGAGATGTTCTTCTCCATGGCACCCATGACGAGCAGCGTAGCCTCTCTGCGTTCGGTCAGCGACGTCTCGGATCTGGATTCGTCGGTCCACAGCGACATCAGCACTGCTCCCCTGCAGCCTCCGGCCTTTGCCCCAGGGGTAAGTGCCTTCTCCGGCTTTTTTTCTTCCCTGCGGTCGTCCTTCAATCAGTTGTTTCTAACTGCTTTGTGAATCTCTGGGATACCTTCTTTAAGCACATTCACGGAGCCCAGAACGTACAGCAGCAATGATGACACTCAAAACACCCAATTTACTCTTAAAGTACAAGGAAAGAGCTTATTTATTATTTTTATTTATTTATTTATTGAATTTATATCCCGCCCTTCTCCCCGAAGGGACTCAGGGCGGTGAACAGCCGATTATATAATCATATGGAGATAGTAAATACCGTAACAGTCCCAGAAGTCAAATAAGTAATCTTATAGCAATGGCCAAAATTGTGGAAACCTTTTGGGAAAAGTGTATTTTCTAAAACTAGCTAATAACACTACTTTTTTGGGGGGGAGGGGAGTAGTACCATAAAATGATATATCAATGGAAAGATAATTTAATCAAGAATGTAATGCGATAACGTTTATGAAGGACTTGCTATTAGAATAGCAGTTACGGTATAAAGAAGAAAAGTGAAACACGTAGAAAAAAACGGGATATTCAAAATGGCAGCATAGAAGCACAAAAATGATCACCATAGAAAAAATGAGATATACAAAAATGATCCCCGTGTCAGTGAATCCTTCGTTGGGTCACTTTTAGCATGAATGACGGCCTTACAACGTCTTCCCATGGAGGGAACCAAGTCTTTGAGTTCTGCAGCTGTCATAATGCGAAACCAAGATTGAATGATGGCTTCTATTAACTGGGTTTTATCGCTGGGTCGCTTCTGACTAACCAGTTTCTTTAGTCGGCTCCATAGATTTTTCAATGGGGTGAAGGTCTGGGCTATTCCCAGGCCATTCCAGCAGTGGAATAGGATTATCTTGAAACTCCAAAAAAAAAAGTGATGTTATTAGCCATCAAACCTCAAAAATACACTTTTCCCAAAAGGTTTCCACAATTTTGGCCACTGGAATTTGTAGAAAGAGTGTGTCAGCATTTCAACGCTGGCATAGAGAGAGAGCAGAGGAGAGGAGAGATAAACTCTGAAACTTTTGCCTGCTAAATCCCTTTGAAGCCTGGTTGTCGTGGAAATGAGGGGAGGGGGCACATTCCTGGGAAATGACGAGGAAAAGAAGTCTGAAGAATGACTTGGAAGACAGCCAATGAGAAGCAGAGATTTGGGGATCGGAAAGGGAGGAATTGGGAGGCAAAAGGTCAGTCTTGTCCGCGCGGAGTCATGATCCGATGGCTGAGCTCAATTAAAGAAAGATTTCGTTAAAGATTGGCAGTTTGGAAATTCATTTAATTTTGAGATAGCATCACAGTCTGACAGAGTGCAGAGAAGAGCAACTAGGATGATTAAAGGCCTGGAGACTAAAACATATGAAGGACGGTTGCAGGAATTGTGTATGGCCAGTCTAGAGAAAAGAAGGACTGATGTGACACGATAGCAGCCGTCCAGTATTTGAGGGGCAGAATAACAGTTGCAAGGGACCTTGTAGGTCATCTAGTCCAACCCCAACCAAACAGGAGACCCTACACCATTTCTGACAGATGGCAGTCCAATCTCTTCTTGAAAACTTCCAGGGATGAGGGAAGGTTCAAATTATTCTCCCAAACACCGGAAGACGGGACAAGAAACAACAGGTGGAAACTAATCAAGGAGAAAAGCAACCTAGAACTAAGAAGGGATTTTCTGACATTGAGGACAATTAACCAGTGGAACTGCTTGCCACCAGAAGCTGTGGGTGCTCCATCACTGAAGGTGTTTAAGAAGAGACTGGACAGTCACCTGTCTGAAATGGTATAAGTCTCCTGCTTGAGCAGAGGGTTGGACTAGAAGACCTCCAAGGTCCCTTCCAACTCTAGTCTGATTGTTAATTGATTGTTAACTGTGAGTTGCTGCAAATAGCCATGTGCCATCTCTCAGAAATGGTATGGTATTGTTTCCTGCTTGAGCAGGGGGTTGGACTAGATGACCTCCAGGGTCCCTTCCAACCCTGTTAACTTCTGAAAATGCTCTTTCCTCCATTTATTTACTAAATTTATATGCCGTCCATCTCACTATCGAATGGCTCTGGGCACCTTTACAGTATCACACACGACAAAATAGACAATTAAATACATTAAAACGTCAGCCATTCCAATCCAAAGCTTAAAACCGAAAGCACGAAAATTAACATTTAAAAAAACACGTTCGAATTAATCTTTTTTTTCCCTCCCACAGCTGAGCCTAGGAAGCCCCCGGCGTTACAGACGGCTGCCGTTTGCCTCAACCCTGCCAGGTCTCAATAAGATACCAAGTAAGGTGGTTTTCCTGCAATTTTTCCCCCTGGGGTGGGGGGGAGGGGGGGCTGGGACGGGTGAAATCCAGCAGGTTCTAACAGGTTCTGGAGAACCGGTAGTGGAAATTTTGAGTAGTTTGGAGATCCGGCAAATACCACATCTGGCTGGGTTGGGAATGGAGATTTTGCAGTATCCTTCCCCCAGGAGTGGGAAAGGAATGGGTATTTTGCAGTATCCTTCCCCTGGAGTGGGGTGGGAATGGAGATTTTGCAATATCCTTTCCCTGGGGCGGGGTGGGATTGGGGATTTTGCAGTATCCTTCCCCCAGGAGTGGGGTGGGAATGGGGATTTTGCAATATCCTTCCCCCTGGAGTGGGGAGGGAATGGGGATTTTGCAGTATCCTTCCCCCAGGAGTGAGGGGGGAATGGAGATTTTGCGGTATCCTTCCCCCAGGAGTGAGGGGGGAATGGGGATTTTGCAGTATCCTTTCCCCAGGAGTGGGGTGGGAATGAGGATTTTGCAGTATCCTTCCCCTGGAGTGGGGTGGGAATGGAGATTTTGCAATATCCTTCCCCTGGAGTGGGGAGGGAATGGAGATTTTGCAGTATCCTTCCCCTGCCACGCGCACCAAACCACGCCCACCAAGCCACCCCATGCCCACCAAGCCACGCCCATAGAACCGGTAGTAAAAAAATTTGGATTTCACCACTGGGCTGGGAGAAGATGGGGAGAAGGTCGTGGGGTTGGGGTACGATTCTTCGCTGTTTCCTTCTTGCAGCCAGGCTGAGCATCTGAACGCTGCATGAAATGCAGTTAAACCTCCTTTAAAAAAATAAATTAATAAATTACACAGGTAGTTTTCGATTTACATCTAGAGCCAAGCCTAAACTTTCCATTTCTAAACGAGACAGTTGCTAAAGGAATTTTGCCCCATTTTACAACATTCTTTGCCATCGTCGTTGAGTGACACCGTTGTTGAGTAACAACCTCAGTTGTTACTGAGTCCTTCGGGAGAAGGGCTGTATAGAAATAAAATTATTATTATTATTATTATTATTATTATTATTATTATTATTATTATTTATTATTATGCAAGTACACCCAGTTGTTAAGTGAATCTGGCTTCCCCATTTACTTTGCTCATTCAGAAGGGAATCGCTTGACCCCGGGACACTCGTCATAAATACGAGTCAGTTGTCTGGATTTTGATCACCTGACCACGGGGATGGTGGGGGTGCCACAACGGTCGTAAGTGTTCCAACAAGCGGGGCTAAACATATGAACATGTGAATGTTTTTAAAATGTTATCCAATTTTAGGTTCTATTTAATTGGGCCAAACTATGTTATAATAATAATTTTAATTAGCAATTTTATGATGTTTGTGTATCTATATTTTTCTTGACTGTACACCGCCTTGAGTTCTATGGTAGAAAGGTGGTATAGAAATATAATAAATAAATAATAAATAAGTGTGAAAAATGGGCGTAAGTCCCTTTTTTCAGGGCCGTTTCAACTTCTAACGGTCGCTCAACGAATGGTCGTAAGTGGAGGCCTACTTGTACTGTAGAGCAGTGATTTTCAACCTCAGCGGCAGTGATGGGTTTCACATATCCTTACCAAATTTTCTTCTTCCTTTCAGGCAAGGCTGGCCCCTTCCCGCCCCCCTCCCTGGACAGCCAGCGTCCCGAGATGCCTGCTGCGGGTGACTATCGGGGGCCTGACCTTGACCCTTCTCCATCAGCCCCCTGGGCTTTCCCATCGGATGTCCTCTCCCTGGGGGTCGCTCAGCGGTTTTTTCTCCCAGCTGGCGGGCCTGAAGGACGCAGCCTTCCGGAGGCCGGGATTTTCATCCCCTGCGCCGTTGCTTCGAGGAGGCCATTCCACGCAGCCATGTCAGTGAGTCTAGTCCAGGGTTTCCCTTCCTTAGAAACTGGGTGGATGTCTACTCCCAGAATTCCCCATCCAATCAGTGTTTTCCATCCTTAGCAACCTTAAAATAAGAGAACTTCAACTCCCAGAATTCCCCATCCAGTCAGTGTTGCCCGACCTTAGCAACTTTAAGATGGGTGGACTTCAACTCCCAGAATTCCCCATCCAATCAGTGTTTTCCATCCTTAGCAACCTTAAAATAAGAGAACTTCAACTTCCAGAATTCCCCAGCCATTCAGTGTCTCCCATCCTTAGCAACTTGTAGAAGGGTGACTTCAGCTCCCAGAGTTCCCCAGCCACTCACTGTTTACCATCCTTAGCAACTTTAAGATGGGAGTTCAGTTCCCAGAATTCCCAAGCCATTCAGTGTCTCTCATCTTTAGCAACTTTAAGATAAGAGAACTTCACCTCCCAGAATTCCCCATCCAGTCAGTGTTTTCCATTCTTAGAAACTTTAAGAAAGGTGGACTTCAACTCCCAGAATTCCCCATCCAACCAGTGTTTTCTATCCTTAGCAACTTTAAGATGGGTGGAGTTCAGTTCCCAGAATTCCCTAGCCACTCAGTGTTTTCCATTCTTAGAAACTTTAAGAAAAGTGGACTTCAACTCCCAGAATTTCCCAGCCAGCTATGCTGACTGGGGAATTCTGGGAGTTGAAGTCCACCCATCTTAAAGCTGTCTAGGTTGAGAAAGACCGCCCTAAGTTGAATAGACAGGGATTTTTCCTGCTTTTAAATTTGCCCCTCTGTCCTGCTCTTTTTCTGAGCTGCATTCGGGGGTCTTTTTCCATCTTCCAGGCTGACCGGGGCTGCGGTCCAACTCACCTGCGAGCGCAAGTCTTCTAAGCAGCTGCGTGGGCTCAACTGGGACGCCTCCTTCGGCCTTCTGGAGATCTTGGAGTGCCTTTGGCCAGCCAGCAGAAGGACGGGAAAACCCGAATACACTCAGGTGCGGAGCAGGGGCTGGGGGAGTGTCTTTGGGGAGGGGGCAGCCTCACCTAGGCTGGAAAGGTTGCGGTGTTTTCTTCCTGGATGTGAAAGAGAAAAACATTGAATTCCCCTTCCTCCCTGCTCCCGTTATTGCCATCTGGTTGTGAGGAAGCTGCATGGCGAGTCAACCATCGCAACGGCGCAGGTCAACGCTGATTTTCTGTGTCTCGTTCTCTTCTAGCTGCTGGTCTTTCCCACCCCGGGACCCGTTCCCTACAGCCAGGCGCCTCAGCCCTGTGCACGGATCCGGTCCAAGCACTTGGAGAAGCTGCCGTCCTCCAAGGTTTGCAGGCCGGTTGAGTTTGGGGGAATTTTGGAATAGGGGGGTCTTGCTGGGTGTGTCTGAAGTAGAGCTCCTACACCAGTGATGGCGAACCTATGGCACGCGTGCCACAGGTGGCGCGCGGAGCCATTTCTCCGGACACATGAGCCGTCGCCCTAGATCAGCTCCATCGCACATGTGCGTGCGCCTCTCGCCAGCCAGCTGATTTTCAGGTCTCTGCTACACATGTGGGAGATGTGTGTGCATGCCCATGCCGCCCCTCCCCTCCCAGGAGTCTCCACACGGCCTGTTTTGGATGCCACGTAAGTACAGGGCTTGCGCGAAGGCTCTGGGAAGGCGAAAAACGGGCCTACCGGAAGTCAGGAAACAGTTCACAAAACGCAAAGTTTGCAATCGCAGCGAAGGCAGCGTGTGAAGGAAAAAAGCCACCTTCGGGGTGGAACGGCCCGGCCTGACCCTCCAATTGGCCCCTCTCTTCCGACGTTTAGACCAGCGGTTCTTAACCTGGGGAATTCTGTGTTGTGACCCAGGCCCACGTAGTTGATATTAAATGCAAAACAGTTCCAAAAAACAAACAGATTTTATTTAAAACGGCTGAGAATTAACTCGTTCTCAGCGTATTCCAAATGAAATGAAAGCAAAGTCCTCAAAAACCATTCTCCAGTTTATCTCTGACCTTGGGATAATGAGGCAAACTGCCAAAGGCTTTTCTTGGCAACTGTTCAGGAACAGAAGAAATAACTACAGCCAAACAAGAAGCAAATCTCTCAACAGTTGTTTTCCGGCAAAGAGCCCAAAAGCCGTTGCTGGTCTTTTAAGCCTTCTGGGAGGGGCCAATCATCTCTTGGCCTGACTCCCGAGTCGTCCTCTCTGCTTTAGCTGCTCCTGCCTCCTGGCAGCTCTTCTCATACGTTGTTGTGGCTCCGTTACCTGAGCCTGTGTCATCGGCAGGAGAGGGCTCCGAGTGTGAAGGAGAGGAGTTGGCAAGGCCTCCCTCTCCAGGACCCTCCTCTCTGGCAATGCCTTCAGTGTCCGCCGAAGGGCAAGAGATAGGGCCGGGGCCAAGCACGTCCATGCAGCCACAGATGGACAGTGATGAGGGTAATGAGTCTTGGCTGGATCCACGCCAGCGTCGCAGAGATAAGCACACGCAACAGAAGAAAAGGCGTGCCCGAGATTAGGCTGAGTCACTGGACCACACCCCACAGGATATAAAAGGGAGCGTGGTGGCCAGTCAAACCTTGTGACGAACAAAGCTGAAAGCTTCCACGCCATTCTGCATTGCCGGACTTTTGCTTTAAGACTTTGCAGGATTATCTCTGGACTTGATTGACTCCATAATTATTGAGCTGTTTCTTTTGATGTACCAGAAGTGGGGAGAAGTTATCTCTCCTCTTTGTAAATAATAAACTCTTGGCAGGCAGCCACAAGGTTGTTGCCAAGTTCCGTTATCATAAGGAAAAGGATTTTGCCGGCTGGTTTGGTCTTTAACTCTTGAACATCTGTTGGTGTGTGTGCGTGTGGTTGGGGACAGAACATACATGTACTAGGAACAGGCTCCTCCTGTTCCTCTGCCTCTCTACTGTCAACCTCTGGAGGCTCCGAGGTCCGTGTATCACTCCCCGATGGTCCCGGCCCCATCTCTGCCTCCGACGCAGAGCCCTCATCCGGGCCTTCCCCAGCCTCCAGGACTGGCCCACGTTCTTCCTCAGCCTCATCGCTGTCCGACTCCGCTGCCAGCTCCACAGGCTGCGGGCGGACCACAACATTCTGGGAGTTGAAATCCACCTGTCTTTCAAGTTCCCAAGGTTGAGAGATCTGCTCTGGCCTGATCTCCTTTTATGCCAGGGGTGTCAAACTCGGTTTCATTGAGAGCCACATCAGGGTTGTGTTTGACCTTGGGGGGGCCCTGAGGGGGCGTGGCCAGCTCGACGTCACTCATGTCGGGGACGCCTGCCAATAAAAACGGGCTCCCGAGCTCCGTTTTCGGCTGTCGCCTCCTGCAGCCCTCTGCCAGCGGAAACGGAGCTCACGAGGGCCGCCAACGGCACTCCCGAGCTCCGTTTGCGCTGGCAGAGGCACCGCGGGCCGGTCCTTTGCTGTTTCCAGGGTGGCCCTGCGGGCCAGAGCTAAGCACCCCGCATGCTGGATCTGGCTCCCTGGCCCTTGAGTTTGACACCCCTGTTTTATGCCATCCTTGCAGAGCGGTCTGGCCAAAGGGGCGTTGTCCAAGCTGACGGTGGAGCTGGCGGTGGAACTGGCTGACTTCCTCTCTGAAGTGGACCTGGGTACGCTGGATCGCCTCTGCTCCCTCTTGCAGCCCGCCATGGTGCCATCCCGGCCGGGTGTCTACCGTCCCGAAGAACCCGTGGTAAGGCGGAGGGGAGGTGGCCGGGTGGCTCGAGCGGGAGAGGCTCCTTCTCCTTCCCCACTGAGGTTGTCTTCTCCTTTTCTTCCCCTTGCTGGTGCCAGCCAGGTTTCCCCCCGGCTGCCCGATGGCAGGGCAACATGCAGCTGGTCGCCCCCAAAGCTTCCCTGCTTCTCCAGTTCCCCATCCCGGATCTCCGCGCCTGGGCCGAGAGGCGCGCCTGGGCCGAGAAGGCAGTGCGCAGGGAGCGCTTGCGGCTGGACCTGGCCGGCGTCGAGCTGCGCACGGATCTGGAGCCGACGGGGCCCACTAAGTTAGAAATCACCCTGACAGATTTGCACGGTGAGCGAAGGGATGGATTTGGGTTAGTGGTGAAATGTAAAATTTGTTACTACCGGTTCTGTGGGCGTGGCTCGGTGGTGGTGGGGGTAATATGACTGGGTGGGCGAGGCAAAGTTTTTTTTTTTTTTTAACTTTTAAAAGCATTTTTTCATACAACCTCTTTCGGCCGAAGGGGTTGCAGACAAAAATGCTTTTAAAAGCCTCTTGACGATCAGGCAACTCAGCTGGGATCGGCAGAGGCTTTTAAAAGCATTTTTTTTTCTACAACCTCTTCAGACGATCATCTGCCCCTCCTCTCCCCCCGTGCGATCATCAGAGGCTTTTTTTTTTACTTTTAAAAGCATTTTAGAGCCTTGATGGCGCAGCGGACTAAAGTGCTGTTAAAGTAGCACTTAGCGGCCAGCTGCCTGCAATTACTGCAAGTTCAAATCTCACCAGGCTCAAGGTTGACTCAACCTTCCATCCTTCCGAGGTAGGTAAAATGAGGACCTGGATTGTGGGGGCAATAAGCTGACTTTGTATAAAAAAGAACACCGCTTGGGGGGGGGGGGTGCGAAAGCCCTACTAAGCAGGTCTATACAAAAGTATGAAGGCTATTGGTTAACACATTGTAAGCCGCCCTGAGTCTCCGGAGAAGGACGGCATATAAATCGAACCAATCAATCAATCAATCAATCAATCAATTTTTTCGGCCGAAGTGGTTGTAGAAAAAATGTTTTTAAAAGTAAAAAAACCAGCCTCTGATGATCTGCCATCGCTACCGGATTGGGTGATCCGGTCCGAACCGGGAGCATTTCACCCCTGATTTGGGTGCTTCTCAAACGTCCTTCTTCCTCAGGATGTGGGATAAATTTTACACCTGGTTAGAAAGGAAATATAAATAAGGGTATAGAGATAAAACGGATAGAGAAAAGATGGGAGAAAATAATCATAAGAATAGAAACCTAGATGATAACCTAGGTAAAAGGGAGAGCCTTCTCTGTGGGGGCACCTACTATCTGGAACGAGCTCCCCCCAGAGATACGGAGGATCCCGGATCTGCGCACCTTCCGCCGCGCCTTAAAGACCTTACTATTTCACCAGGCCGGCCTGGCCTAATTTTCCCCCTCTTTTATAAAAGATTTTTAAAATTTTAAATATTTTTTAGTATTTATATATTCAATTTTAAATTGGTTTTAAAAGTTTGGGGTTTTAAATTTGTCGGGGCCAAAATTATTTAATTTGATTTTATTCTATTTTTTAAATTTTGTATTGTATGTGTTTTTATTGTTTGGCTGTGCACCGCCCTGAGTCCTTCGGGAGTAGGGCGGTATAGAAATCTAATAAATAAATAAATAAATAAATAAAAGGTGAAAGGGGAGGGAAAAAGGAAAAAGTGAGATTATTATAAAAATGTACACAAAGGATGAAACAGATATAAATATTAATGAAATAAGAAATTGAAATGAGAATAGAGATAGATAGAAAATCGAGGCTGCTCGAATGCCATTCTAGATTGAACTGAAAAGGGAAACAACAAGAGAGAGGGGAAGGAGGAGAGAGAGAGGAAGGGAGAAGAGAGGAGAGGAGAGGGGGAGAAAGAAAAAAAGGGAAAAGGAGAGGAAGAAAAGGGAGGGGAAGGAGGTGAGAGAGCGGAAGGGAGAAGAGAGGAGAGGAGAGGGAAAGAGAGAAGAAAGGGGAAAGGAGAGGAAGAAAAGGGAGGGGAAAGAGGAGTAGGAGAGAAGGTTAGAAGGGGGGAAGAAGGGAGGAGTGCGGGAAGGGAAGTAGGAAAGGGAAGGAGAGGAAGAACGAAGAAAGTAGGAGGAGAGAGAGGAAGGAAGAGAAGGGGAGGAGAAGAAAGGTGGCAAAACAAAGAAGGTTAAATGGTAAAAGAGCAGCCCCGAACAAGTAAAAATTAAAAATGAAAGAATGAAAAATGGTGGATAAATGACTGTACATGAAAATATGTTTATGAGAAATAAAAATAAAAACTTTTTTTGGAAAAAAAAAACGTCCTTCTTCCCCAGGAAGGAGTTGACAAAGGACAGTTAGTACAGCTGCCAGGACATCTGGGACTAGAAGCTCCATATAGATAGTCCTCGACTTACAACCATTCGTTTAGTGACGGTTCAAAGTTAACAACAGCATTGAAAAAAAATGACCTATTTTCATTTTTAATCACGATTAAAAGTGGATGATTTTGCCATACTTAGGACCGTTTCAGCATCCCCATGGTCACACGGTCAAAATTCAGATGCTTGGCAACTGGCTCGTATTTATGACGGTTGCATTGTCCTGGGCTCTTCTGACAAAGTTGATGGAAAAGCCAGGTTCACTTAACAACAACGTATTACTAATTTAGCAACTGCAGCGGTTCACTAAACAACTGTGGCAAGACAGGTCGTAAAAATGGGACAAAACTCACTTAACAACTGTCTCGCTTAACAACAGAAATTTGGGATTCAATGGTCGTTGTGAATTGAGGACTACCTATATTGCTCAAGCCTATAGTAGTGGCCAAAATTGTGGAAACCTTTTGGGAAAAGTGTATTTTCTAAAACTAGCTAATAACACCACTTTTTTTTTTTTTTTGGGAGTAGTACCATGAAGTTATATATCAATGGAAAGATAATTTAATCAAGAATGTAATGCAATAACTTTTATGAAGGATTTGCTATTAGAGTAGCAGTTACAGTATAGAGAAGAGAAATGAAACACGTAGAAAAAACGAGATTATACAAAAATAATCCCCATGTCAGTGAATCCTTCGTTGGGTCACCTTTAGCATGAATGACGGCTTTACAACGTCTTCCCATGGAGGGAACCAAGTCTTTGAGTTCTGCAGCTGTCATAATGCAAAACCAAGATCGAATGATGGCTTCTATTAACTGGGTTTTATTGCTGGGTCGCTTCTGACTAGCAAGTTTCTTTAGTCGGCCTCATAGATTTTTCAATTCGGTTAAGGTCTGGGCTATTCCAGCAGTGGAATAGGATTATCTTGAAACTCCCCCCCCCCCAAAAAAAGTGGTGTTATTAGCCATCAAACCTCAAAAATACACTTTTCCCAAAAGGTTTCCACCATTTTGGCCACTGCTGTATAGACAAGGAATTTAGTCGATTAATGTTCAGGGCTAAATTGGTGCTAGATAAAAGCCCACAGGACCTTCTACCACATGTGGTGGACGTGTCCGGAAGCAAGGAAGTTTTGGAAAAAAATACAAAAATGGATCCAAGAAATATTAAAGGAGGACATTAACTTCCTCCCGGAAACCTATCTCCTGGGAGTGCTAAAACGAGCATTTGGAAAGGACAAGAAATACCTGATTATTCATATTGTCACAGCTGCTAGACTCTCCTGTGCCAGATATTGGAAAGAGAAAAAAGGACCAACCGAGGAACAGATAGTCAATAAGATACTTGACTGCGCAGAAATGTGCAGATTAACGTATGTGTTAAACGGAAAGGAGGATTCAGAATTTTATGCGATCTGGGATCTGTGGTATAGGTGGTTAGAAATTAAATGCAAAAGTTAATACTCATGTGGAATAATGCACAATGATTAGATAACCCTATATATTATTGTACTTTAATTAAACAGTAATCAATTTTACTCATAAGAAGTTTTGTACAAACTGTAGAAATGATTAGATAATTGACTAGATACCACACTTGTAAATATACAATATGACTACACGTTGCCGAACCGTTTAGTTTGAATTGTAATATGTTCTTAATTCAATAAAATTGCATTTAAAAAAAAAAAAAAAAAGCCCACGGGAATCCAAGAGGGGTTGGAGCATTTGTCAAAATGTATTGATTCCAGGCTGATGACTTGCTTAACTCCGCCTCCGTCTGTGTCTGTTCCTTCTCCTACACAGGCATTTATGAAGATGGTGAGACGCTGTCGGTGCCTTGTTTTCGGGTGGGCAAAGCCCCTGACTTACTGGCCAGAGGCGTCGGGAAGAAGTACCTCCTTCCTAAGTAAGTTTCTCGCGAGCGGAGAAGAGAGAGCTTTCCTGCGACAGAGAGAAGGGGGGGCTTTCCATAGCCCCACAACTGAAACTCCAGGACGGGGAGGGATGGTGGTGGGAATCCAGCTCTCTCCTCCTGTCCTTGGCAGGCTCATCTTGACCTTCTGCCCAACGCCCACGGATGCCCCTTGGGATTTGGTGCTGGCAGCCGCCGAAGAGGTGGAGCTGTCGACGGTTGAAAGCCCCTGTGAGCTGAAGCAGCCGGAGCCTTCGCCCTTCTCTTCCAAACGGACGATGTACGAGACGGAAGAGGTGAGAGGCTTTCTGGCTGCCCCATCCTTGGGGGGCAGGAGGCAGCATGCTGGGCAGGGGAGCCAAAATTGAGGACTACCGAATCAGAAAGCTGAGAAGGCTATGGCAAAAATTATTCAATACAGATACAATATAGTGCAATTATTCAACTTCGGTGGCTTTAAGAAGAGTGGACTTCCACTCCCAGAATTCCCCAGCCAGCGTGATTTTAAGTGCCAGGACTTCCACTCCCAGAATTCCCCAGCCTGCATGCTTTTACGTGTGAGGACTTCAACTCCCAGAATTCTCCGGCCAGCGTGATTTTAAGTGCCAGGACTTCAACTCCCAGAATTCCCCAGCCAGCGTGATTTTAAGTGCGAGGACTTCCACTCCCAGAATTCCCCAGCCAGCATGCTTTTAAGTGCGAGGACTTCCACTCCCAGAATTCCCCAGCCAGCATGCTTTTACATGTGAGGACTTCAACTCCCAGAATTCCCAGCCAGCATGCTTTTACATGTGAGGACTTCAACTCCCAGGATGCTGGCTGGGGAATTCTGGGAATGGAAATCCACACATCTCCAGTTACCATGGTTGAGAAATACTGCAACAAAGGTTGGGCTCTAGTAAGAATGGTTTTAAATTGAATTTTATTGGAAAGGAAACCCAAGTGAATTCTTCCTTTGGCCCCACCTACTTCTTGGAGAACAGGCGCTCCCCTCAAAGCTACCCCACCCCACCCCAAAGTTGTGCCCCCTTGATTGAGCCCTTTCTTTAGGCTGTTAGATGTTGGTGGTACCTTTCCTCTTTGTTTCTTATCCTCTTCTGTGGGGTCTTGGGTGCTCTCTGAGCTCGGCGGCTTTCTTGCAGACGTTTTATTACCCAACTAAGCAACATCATCAGTGCTAGAAGATGCTCTTTAACAACACATAGCAACACTGACAGGGGACAAGCCACTCTACATAAACAAAGAGCAAATCCTCCTACCGTGTTTCCCTGAAAATAAGACCCTGTCTTATATTTTTTTTGAACCCTGAAATAAGCGTTTGGCCTTATTTTCGGGGAGGTGTTATTAAGAGCCTTGGTAGAACAGTGGTCTAAGGCACCCTGGTTATTAAGACCAGCTGCCTGCAATTACTGCAGGGTTCGAATCTCACCAAGGCTCAAGGTTGACTCAGCTTTCCATCCTTTCTAAGGTAGGTAAATTGAGGACCCAGTTTGTGGGGGCAATAAGCTGACTTTGTATAAATATACAAAAGGATGAAGGCTATTGCTGAGCACATTGTAAGCGGCCCTGAGTCTCCGGAGAAGGGCGGCATATAAATCAAATTAAAAAAAATAAAAAAAATATATATTTTGGGGCGCGTGAAGCAAGGTGGGGCTCCTCTTGCTGTCTTACCTGATTTCCAGCTCTGTCTCCCTAACCCTAACCAGAAGAAATGGCTGTGTATGCGGTTAAATATTTTTGGATGGGTTGGTGGTGGTGGTGGGCTTACTTTTGGGGAGGGCTTATTATCCGGGGAGGTCTTATTTTCGGGGAAACACGGTAGCACTGATGAAGTTGCATAATTGAGTCATGAAATGTCTGTAAGAAAACAATCAAGCTCCGAGAGCACCAAGGAGACCTCAACGGTTCAGCCCTAGGCTGCAAATGTTCTGTGGGTATCATCCTCCTCTCCTCTCCCTCTCAAAGATGGTCATTCCCGGGGATCCCGAGGAGATGGCCGAGTTCCAGAGCCAGACGCTGGCCGCCTCCCGCTACACTCTGGAGCTGACCTTCCCCACGGTTCACATCTTCTTATTGAAGAATTGAAGAAACGTCTTGGGTGGGAAGCAAAATGTCTTCAAGGAAAAACAAGGAAGCCCAGTTGCCTTTTTGAAGAAGTACCTTTGGGACTAAGAATGGGAAGTTTTCATTAGGTTGTTTATAAAATGATCTCTCAAAGCTCCATCAGTCTGGAAACCAACTCCCTACAATGTTTGAGAAGGTGGCAAGGCAGTGATTGACAGGTGCCTCTTAGCCTTTCCATGATATTTGCAGCTTACTTGCAGGAGAAAGACTGAAACATCAGCACATGTGCAAAGACTCCTTGTTTAAAAGCAAAGACAACAAGGTTGCAGAAAGATGACGGCAAATGGAAGCTATTCATCTGTCTCAGAACCTTGATTTCTGAATATTGACAGGTAGCATGCTTAGTAGACTTCACAGCCAAGAATACTTCTCTCTTCATTGATTTTAGCCTTCTGTTCTTTCAAAAACAGAAGTCATGTGCTTAATGCTTTTCCTGTTTGTGGACAGAGTTGCATTAGTCAATACTTTAATGCCGTATAATTAATACCGTCCGTATGCCATTCATCACGTCGCTGTCCCTCCGTTTTAGAAGCTGCCACTTGCCAATTAATATGCCTAATGAAAACAGGGTGAGCATCCACAATGTGTTTTCATTAGCAGACAGGCCTGTGAAGCATTGTAGGGAAGATGCTGGTTACTAAGCAATAACGCATCCTATCTGTGGCATGAGGAGTTTTCACAAATAATGCATTCATTCTATTGTTTTCAAGAAAGAATGTAAAGCAATGTTTCCATTTTCTGTTTCACAAATTGAATCACTAAAAAACAATGGAGTGGGCTTCTGAAATGCTGGCCGTGGTTACTTTTTGAGGTTTAATCACAGAAAGGTTATTAACACATTTTAGGCAATAACTCTGTGGAGGGGGAAAAAAGAGCCACTTTTCTTGTTTTTGGCATCCGTACGAAACGAAAGCTTCATTTAAAAGAGACGTGTAGCTATTATTGTAAAATCTGTAAACGTCCATAAACGCATCTTTGTTTCAATCATATGGGCCTTAAAAATGCAAAAATAGGATATACCCAGCTCAATTTCCATATGCGTAGTGACAGCTGGGAGTACCGATTTATTTTTTATTCCCTTTATTCCCGTTTTGTTTTGTTTCAGGAAATGGACTAACTCTTCCTGGAATTTTTTTTTTTCTTCTTCGCTTGTGATTATGAATCTCTCGTGTAACATGTAGTTTGGCCTTGAGATCAAACACTGATTAACACAAAAGTAGGGTAATATATTTCCCCTTCAATATAGACACTCTAGTACTCAGCTAGGGAGGTGTCTTCATTGTTTGGAAGCTGTTGGCTAACAGCTGTATGTAAAGGCTGATTAAAAGTAAATAGAGGGGGGATATTTTGGGAGACGAAGCCAAAGGATACTGTTAAATCAACCGTGAGAATTATTTATTTCACAGCCTTTGCAATCTGCCCCTATCTACAGACTCTGAATAGCAAAACAAAGAAAAACTCCAATTCATAAGAACAGAGACACTCAACCTCCCCCAATGGCTGACAGAAATGTTCTGTTCAACTTGTTGAACTAACTTGTTTTGATAGTTGTATAGAATGATGAGTCGGAAAGGTTTTGTGAATCTCTCAGGACAAGGAGGCCAGGACTCATAGAGGGTTATCATCTAGCCCACGTTTTGTAATCTTATATGGTGTGAGGACTTCTCACCAGTAGTGGGTTTCAACAACAACTTTATTGTCATTGTACGTGTATACACAGTATACCCATACAACGAAATCCACTTAACACCCAAAGACCAGGTCCAACACACATAACAATCCCCAAACACACTCCCACCCACCACAAAAATTCCCCATCCCTAAAACCACCCAAACATCCACACAACAGACCAAGTAATGTTGTCCAACAGCTCACTGATGGTGGCCCTTTAGTTCATTGTTGAGTGCAATTATAGCTCTGGGATAAAAAGTATTCAGAAGACGTGTGGTCCTCATCCCTCGTTTGACAAATCTACACCTATGCCATTTATTTTCTGATTCTAGCAATTGGCTTTAATCCAGGCCCTTCCGATCTATGATCATTGTAGTCCATGGGTCATGTGACTTATCAAATATTTCCCTGGTTAAATTTGGAAAGCACATTGTTGTTAAATCTATGTTATCACTAGTGTATATTCTTGAAAATAAAAATTTGTTGGAAAAATATTTCAATTGAAAAACCAATCTGTTTGATGCTGGAAAGAAGTAATTTTATATACATGTGAGGCAAAGGATACTTTTTGCAGTTGTTCCCTGTAATTTTTATTGAGGATGCACGGAAAGTGACATAATTAATCTGTCCTTCTTTCTTCCCCCAACTGTCTTTCTCACTTACCTTCGCTACTGGTTCAGAACGGTGAGCTCATGTTCAGTACTTCTGCGCATGCACAGAACCTTCTGTGCATGTGCCGAGTATCCGTGATGACGTCTGGGTGAGTGGGCGGAGCCTCCCGCCGCTACCAGTTCTCCCGAACCAGGATGAACTGGTAGAAACCTAGCACTGCTTCTCACCAAGATTATCAATTTAATCTTGCCTCCTGATGTAATCTGGACATCACGTAGGGCTTGGTAGGCCATCACCAACAGCTTGAGTGAACCTGGAACTCTACCACAACTGGCACAGTAGCGTTAGTCTTGGTGTTAGTTTATGACAGTGTTACTCAACCTTGACTAGCTTAAGCTGGGGAATTCTGGTAGGGGAGAGTCCACACATCTTAAAGTTGCCAAGGTTGAGAAACACTGAACTATGGTGATGGGATTGTTCCATCATCTGCATGTTAGGCCAGCTGCAACTTTCGTGTCATCTAAAGCTGTTAGGACACTGAGTTTCCTCAGGTTGGAGCCTTGCTATGATACAACACAGGGGTGTCAAACTCGATTTCATTGAGGGCCACAGCACGGTTGTGGTTGACCTCAGGGGGCCAGGGTGGGCATGGCCACGGTGGGCATGCCCAGCTTGATGTCACTCTGTGTCAGGGGAGCCTGTGGTAGCCCAAGCACTCTGCCAGAAAAAACAGGATCCTGCAACCCTCTACCAGCAAAAATGGAGCTGGGGAGGCCCACGGCCCATGGCTGTGGGCCAATCCTTCAGTGTTTCCAGGGTGGACTAATGGGCCAGATCTAAGACCCCATGGGCCAGATCTGGCTTGAGTTTGACACCACTGATATTTTTATTTTTAAAACATAGTATTCCAAGAAAAAGGAATTTGAACAGCAGTGTTGAGCAAGGTAACTTTTCTGACATAATAAATAGAGAATAATGGTTTGGTTCTGTAACCCAACAAGACAGAGACAGACTTCAGAGGATAATTAGAACTGCAGAAAAAACAATGGCTACCAACCTGCCTTCCATGGAGGACCTGTATACTGCACGAGTCAAAAAGAGGGCTGTGAAAATATTTACAGACCCCTCCCATCCTGGACATAAACTGTTTCAACTCCTACCCTCAAAACGACGCTATAGAGCACTACACACCAGAACACTAGACACGAGAACAGTTTTTTCCCCGAATGCCATCACTCTGCTAAACAAATAATTCCCTCAACACTGTCAAAATAGTTACTAAGTATTTGCTAAACAAATAATTATTTGCTAAACAAATAGTTACATAGTTATTTGCTAAACAAATATTCCCTCAACACTGTCAAAATAGTTACTAATCTTCTCATCATTCCTATCACCCATTTCCTCCCACTTATGACTGCATGACTGTAATTTTGTTGCTTGTATCCTTACGATTTATGATTTATATTGATATTGTCTCCTGATTGCTTATTTGTACCCTATGACTATCATTAAGTGTTGTACCTTATGATTCTTGACGAATGTATCTTTTCTTTTATCTACACCGAGAGCATATACACCAAGACAAATTCCTTGTGTGTCCAATCACACTTGGCCAATAAAGAATTCTATTCTGTTCTGTTCTGTTCTGTTCTGTTCTGTTCTGTTCTGTTCTGTTCTATTCTGTTCTGTTCTGTTCTGTTCTGTTCTGTTCTGTTCTGTTCTGTTCTGTTCTGTTCTATTCATTGGGCATTTTAAATTAGAAGACAGGGGATTAATATGACTCTGTAAAAAAAAAAAAACACCTTCATATCAAGTTCTAATTTTACTATACAATGACTGCATAGATCTTATCTAAGCTATAGGTCTTTTGATTTGGGTTTATTCTTTTGGAGCTATAATGTATGACTCTGTGCATTATGGGATAAAATGTGCTCTAATCAACAAATCACAACCGAAGAAAACATGGCGTAGTACAGCCAAATGGCTACAGTGTCCATCCTACGACTTGCTCAAATATTTCATTTGATGTTTCAGTTAATAGACGTGGAATAAAATGGGTTTGTGTAAGAGTTTCATTCCTATCTGTGTTAAGAATTTAGCTCAGTGGAGATTAAGGTATCCTCCATTCATACTTGTTTGCATGCTTTGGTATTGCCATAAATCCAGTAGTGAGTCTGTCAAACTTGGATTAATCAATACAATGAAGAATGGTTGTTGGAATAGTTGGGTGTTTATGTTCCAAGCAGAGTGTGCCAGTTTCAAGTGGAGGAGATGATCATTTTTAGCCGATGGGGCTGGGATGAGGAGAGTAGAATTTCCAATTCAAATGGAATTCCAAGTGTTTCTTTTGATCTGTCCTTTGCTGGTAATGAGCCCACGGAAAGAGCCACTGAATTTTATACTGAAACACGTATTGATAAATCTTCGGATTACAAAATTGTAATGTGTTTGAAGATTTTATTCTAGCATGAAACGAAGGTATGCCTTAAGTTTGAAATCTGGAAACAAAAAGCCCATTCGTATATCAAATAGTTTCTAAAGTGTAGTAGAATTTTAATTTTGCCTGGCCAAAGTTACAGCTCGATGAAGTAAATGAAGGGAAACTTTTGAGCAAAACTCTAAAATTGGCTCAGATGTTGAGTTTATGTTTAGTTTGATT